GACAGGGAGGGGAGGGAGCGGGGGAGGGGAGGGAGTGTGAGAAGGAGGTAAGGGAGGTAGATCTATGGTCAGTGTTGGCAGGCAGCAGAATACACATAGGCGGGGATGAGGTGAAGGAAGGTAAGTGACAGGGAGGGGGAGGGAGAGAGAGATTGGGAAGGGGAAATGAGAGAGGCAGGATGAGAGAAGGGCGGGAACAGGACGGGGCACATGAGTGGCAGTGGGATGGGACGAGAGTGAGAGAAGGGAAAGGGGGTTGGGTTAGGGTTATACTTATTTGAAATATTCAAACTCAATGAAATATTCAAAGTCGAATAGGTATAACCCTAAACTCGCCTCGCCTGTTCTCTCTTCCATTGCCTCCCTTCCACCAGACTGCTGGACACAGTCTGAACTGATATTCCAGTGGTGTGCAGTGCATTCTCGCTTACCTCTTCCATTCTCTCCCCGCTTCCCCCTTGATCCTGTACCTGCCTCCCTTCCACCAGACTGCTGGATACAGTCTGAACGGATTTCCCAGTGGTAAGCTACGAATTCAAGCAGCACAAGGCTTCCCAATGATTTTCTTGTGAAGTTGCTATGATGTATGTATCATTGTGTCAGTCAGTGATACCACAAGCTAGCTACGTATGTCCCTTGAGACGTCTCAGAAGAATGTTGAATCGTCATTTTGTTGTGAAGTTGCTATGATGTATCATTTTGTCTCAGACGTCTCAAGATGTCTGTTCTCTCTGCCCCACCTCTCACGCTTGCCCTCCACACCACAGGATGAACCAGCAGGGAATGCAGCCAAGGGATGCCGTCCTACTTCTTCCAACCGAGTTCGATCCATTGCCTTGGAGTTGGGATGGGAGAAGACTATTGTATGGTATGTGTGCTGTGGTAATTATGGTTTCGTGTCATCTCATCCCATGGACTTCTCCCATCCAAGCTCACATGTCCCACGGTATTATGGTCTCATCTTAATTCTCTAGCCGAGTTGTTCACGTCTCCCTCCTACCCCTTGGCAGGGATTAACCTTGTTGTTTTCCTCCTCATTTCTTTGCTCCTTCCCCCTCTGCATCCAGGGAGGAATCCTATCAGGTTTTTCAGAGGACCTAGTCAAGACGACCGCCTTCCTTCAAAACTTTTCAACCTTCTCCTGAGTGAACTTCTGAGGCACCTTTCTGCTTCTTCCCCCTCTGCATCCAGGGAGGAATCCTATCAGGGTTTCTCAGAGGACCTCATCAAGACAACCGCCATTCTTCAAAACTTTCAAAAAATTCTGGAGTGAACTTCTAAGTCACCTTTCTGCTTGTTTCCCTTCACATGTGCAGGGAGGAATCATACCAGGGTTTTTCAGAGGACCTTAACAAGACGACCACCATCCTTCAAAACTGGTATGATTAAAAGAATATCTATCTTAGGTCGATAGCAAAAAAATTCTCATGTTTAGAATACAAGAAAATGCCACGTTCTTCTCTTTTCTTCGTCTGACATGCTACCCTTGCTTCTGCCCTGGCTCTGACAGAATATATCATTGTTTCGCTTGTGTCAGGTTGAATGTTGACATCCTTGGAAGCATGGCTCGTGACAACTTTCGAATTATTTACAGCAATGTGTATGGCGGATGGTACCTCGACTCTATGGATGTGGTGAGCGGCTTATAACGAAAAGCTTTTTATCGAGGATAACATTGAGGGCATGATGCTTAAAGGGTTCCGAATAATCTACAGCAATGTGTATGGCGGATGGTACCCCGACTCTATGGACGTGGTGAGTGGCTTATGGCGAAGCACTTAAAAAAGAGGACATTGTTTGAAGCAGGACATGTGAAGTCTTCTAAATTAGCTGCAGCAATGTGTATCAGGAATTTACTTTAGCGGGTACATTATATGGGCACGAGAAGTGCTATATATTGGGGCACTCAATAATAGGAAACTGAGCAACAACCATCCATCCAGTAGCATATAACGAGGCTCTCACTACCTCCTCTTCCTTTCCCTGTCCGTTTCCCTTCATCCTTTATGCAGGATTGGAATAGAGTGTACAGTACAGACCCAACACAACACCTTGTAGTGGATGGCTCTGTACCGGAGCATCTACTGGAAGGGGGCGAGGTGTGCATGTGGGGCGAGAAGGTTGACTCGTCCGACTTCATGCCGACCATCTGGCCACGAGCTGCTGCTGCTGCTGGTGAGATGAAGGGCAAGCTGCTGTACCATCATGTTGCAGTATGAAGAGCGTTGCACCCTGTTAGCTACTGGAAAGGGGCGAGATGTGCATGTGGGGGGAGAAGGTCAACTCATCTGACTTTTAATTTGTTGATGTTTTTCTCCCTCCCTCCTATCAGAGCGATTATGGAGCACCAAAGCATATGCCGATGCTGCACTAGCAAGCGGAGAGGCAGAGAAACGATTGCACGTGTTTCGATGCCTTCTGACCCGAAGGGGAGTTGAGGCTGCTCCTGTGAGCAATGCAGTTCCCCGTTCCAATCCCGAAAACCCCGGGGGCTGCCTTGATCAATAATAGAGAAAATGCCTTAAGGGTACCATGCGAGTATGGTCCAGCAGAAGAGTATGGTCCTGCGGAGGAGTACGGTACTGTGGTGTGGCTCATCACCTCCGTGTTCCGCCGGCCGGTTCCTTTTGAACCGACGAGGAGTTGAGGCTGCCCCAGTAGCAACGCTGTGCCCTGTACCGCTCCCGACTATCCCGGGAGCTGTCCTGACCAGAGAAAGTGCGTCACACAGCTGTTCCGCGCAGGCCCCAAAATGTCAGGGTAAAATACCCTGATTGCCCTGACTGGCGGCCGCTTTTTTTGGGGTTACCCTGACCCAGTCAGGCTCCCGGATTTCTTACCCTGACTCATAAAGAGTTAGAAGTTTTGTACCCTTATGAAATCCGAGTTATAGATTGTTTCCCCTGACTTTCATCAGTGTTTTAAACCTGTTACACTGATACCGAGTCTTTCGTAGCGAGGATACGGTGGATGTTGCGCAAAATGACGCCGGCGAGTAATGCACTACGCTTGCTTCCCAACAAGTTCGCCGAACTGGTGACCTTTCGCCCACAGCATCAACCCTAACCAAGTGAGACATTTGAACTTGCTCTGTTCGCATAAAATATCATTATTCATGGAATCCGAGGAAGTTTTTTTTTACCCTGTTTTCATCAGGGTGCGAGATTTTTTACCCTAGGAGTCAGGGTTGGCCCACCCTGGAACTCTGATTTGACAGGGTGGGCCAAACCAATTTTGGGCCCTGGTTCCGCGATTGCTTGTGATGTGGTTGCATGGGCAAACACAGATTGTTCCGGCAATGCAGTTGTACTGTAGCATTATTATCTTAAATCCAGTGGATGTAATTCAATACTGCACATGCTCCTGGACTAATGAAATCGCGGTTCAACCATTTCGTGTTGAACCAGCACGCGGACCAACCAGGGATGGAGTTGATTCTGCTCCTGTTAGAGATCTTGTGCTCCTAGCACAAATGAATATTGCCAAAAGTTGCCATGATTAGTGGCTAAAAGTTGCTACAATTAGCAACTACATCTCTATTATATCCATCAATTGTGTCAGAGCCAGGAGACTTCACTCTCCTTGCTCCGCAACCAATGACTGGCTTGCACTACGTCTCCCACAAGATAAGATATGAATAATCTTCAAAAGAACCAATGAATAGGTTGTCTTTTCGAAATGATAAACCTTGTTAGCAGAACGAGGGCCATTCATGGGCTGAAGGCCACCACTGCCAGCAGCTCCCTCAGCCTCGCATCCTTGCACACCTGGTTCAAACGCTCCCGAGTTACCAGCCTAGTGTCGGGGAAGAGTGGATGAGAGTGGGAAGGGATGGGGAATGAGGAGTGGAATCCAGGGAATTTACGGGCTGAAGCCACCACTGTCAGCAGTTCCCTCAGCCTCGCATCCTTGCACATCTGGTTCAGCCACTTCCGAGTTACCAGCCTAGGGGGTGGGGGGGGCAGGGTGGGGGGAAGGTGTTGGAGGGGAAAAGTAGCAGGGGAAAGAGTGAAGTGCGGGCTGAGGGCTGAAGGCCACCACTGTCAGCAGCTCCCTCAGCCTCGCATCCTTGCACACCTGGTTAAGGCGTTCCCGGGTTACCAGCCTTCATTGCGCCTTTGAAAAACTTCAGAGGCAGTTGCAAGTGAGCTTCACCAAAAATGACTCACTTGCTTCGCGAGACCTTCCCCCAATACTCTGACTTGACCATGACTCGCTTCAGGTGCAGAGGCAGTTCCAATTGAGAATCTCCAGAGGCAGTTCCGATTGAGAATCTCCAGAGGCAGTTCCGATTGAGAATCTCCAGAGGCAGTTCCGATTGAGAATCTCCAGAGGTAGTTCCAATTGAGCTTCATACAAACTCACATCCAGGAAAGCACTCACTTGTTTCGCAAGACCTTTCCCCAATACTCCGACTTGACCATGGCTCGCTTCAGGTGCAGAGGAAGTCCCAATTGAGAATCTCCAGAGGCAGTTCCAATTGAGAATCTCCAGAGGCAGTTCCGATTGGGAATCTCCAGAGGCAGTTCCAATTGAGCTTCACACAAACTCACATCCAGGAAAGCACTCACTTGTTTCGCAAGACCTTGCCCCAATACTCCGACTTGATCATGGCTCGCTTCAGGTGCAGAGGAAGAAATTCTCAAAGGCAGTTCTGCGGTAACTTTATACACAATGACTCACTTGTTTCGCGAGACCTTGCCCCAACACTCTGACTTGACCATGGCTCGCTTCAGCTGTGCCTTAGAGAATGCTCAGATGCAGCTCATATATAACATCCTTACACACTGACTCACTTGCTTCGCGACACCTTGCCCCAATACTCCGACTTTACAATGGGTTGCTTCAGCTGGGCCTTGGGAATTTCAAAGGCAGCTCTGTTGTAACTTCATACACACCTTGTTTCCAAGGCAGTTCACTTCAACTCACTCACCCCACCCGTCTGACTCACTTGTTTCGCGACACCTTGCCCCAATACTCCGACTTGACCATGGCTCGCTTCAGCTGGGCCACAGTGGCAGGCACTCCGTGCATGCTGGTGTATTGAGGGGGATAGGGACGAGTGAGTGGGGGAACGGATGGTGAACAGGGGCAGGATGTGAAGGGAGCATGAACAGTACAGCAGTTGGCTTCAGCTGGGGCCACAGGGGCAGGCACTCCGTGCATGCTGGCAGGGAAAAAAATGACAGGGACAAGGTTCAAGCAGCGTTGCTTTAATAACTGAGAGTTGAATAGCGACCATGCAACACACCACACTCACAGGATCTGTTGAAGTGACAGACGTTGATAACATAATCAACCAAACTAAACCCTAAACTCACATGCAACAGTGATGTCCCAGAGTTCCTTGATTTCCGTCTCGCTACTGAATGATCCGCTATTCTGCAAGAGCAAGGCGGCAGGAGCAGCGAGCACGCCGAACACAAGCGGGGCAATAGATGACCGGAAACACGACGACGGAAAAGGTTAGCCATGCCATGGGATGACAACAACAGAAACTCAAAGAGCACCTGATACAGAACACCAGCACACTTAAGAGAGAATTCCACATAATTCTCATCTCATCACACGGACCTACCCGGTGGCCAAACTCGAGGAATTTGACGATAACGCCGAAAGAGTTGGGCAGCTTCTTGTAGGTCGCCAAGTCTAGCCGCTTCTTCACCACATCCTCGCAAGCCCATACCTGGCCTTACCCCCCACCGACCCAACAACGCACTGACCCACCGACCCATCCACCCAGAACTCTCAACTCACCCAGCATGCACCCAATACAAGGCACACCCCACCAATCCACCCACCCGGTGGCCAAACTCGAGGAATTTGACAATAACGCCGAGCGAGTTGGGCAGCTTCTTGTACGTTGCCAGGTCTAGTCGCTTCTTCACCACGTCTTCACATGAGAGCTCCCACTACACTGGGTCTTTCAAGCCCACACCCGGCCTAACCCACCCGCCAACACACCGACTCAACCCACCCACCACCTACCTGAAAGCTCTCAGGCCTGCCCACCCACTCACCCGGTGGCCGAACTCCAGAAACTTGACGATGACACCAAACGAGTTGGGCAGCTTCTTGTAGGTCGCCAGGTCTAGTCGCTTCTTCACCACATCCTCACACGAGAGCTCGAGAATCGACGCGTTTACGCATGCTGCTAGCGCCAGGGTCTTGTATGTGGTGCGGGGGTCGTTGCCTGATGAGGAGGGCAGGGCATGCATTACAGGAGAGGGTAGCATTTACAAGCGACTTCACCACGTCTTCACAGGAGAGCTCGAGGATTGAACGCGTTTACGCATGCTGCTAAGCGCCAGGGTCTTGTATGTGGTGCGGGGGTCGTTAGCCTGATGAGGAGGGCAGGGCATGCATTACAGGAGAGGTAGCATTTACAAGCGACTTCACCCACGTCTTCACAGTGAGAGCTCGAGGATTGACGCGTTTACGCACGCTGCTAGCGCCAGCGGTCTTGTAGGTTGTGCGGGGGTCGATGCTCGGTCGAGGGAGAAAGTCAGGTGGAATTAAAGAGGTTGAGTAGGTGCAGGGGAAAGGGGGGTTGCATGGTGGAAGGAGGGGGTCCTGGGAAAGGGGGGGGGAAAGACTGGTAAAACGTGGGTAAGAACCGCTTCCCACTTCCCCCAGTTTTCAACTTTCACCCTCCCGTCACTGCTCACATTTCAACACCGCTATGGCATGGCATGCCTACATGCTATTGCGAATACATAGTTTTCACACTCACTGCTCACCTTGGGACGGTGCTCCATCTAGCCATGGCAGGCAGCAGCAGCACAAACGTCATGAGGATCCAAGGACAGAGCAAGGGGATCGCTCCACTTGCATGGCAATGGCATGGCATGGCATGGGCCAACTACCCACCCGAGAGCTGCTCGCCTTGCTGGAACCCACTGCCTACCTGTCAACTCCTTACTGCCTCACCTTTTGCAGCTCCACCCAGCCAAGGCCGGCGGCAGAGCAGCATAAAGTCATGCGGATCCAGAGGTAAGGCGATGAACCCACTCATATGGCATGGCATGCCCACCTTACCGGAGGGCTGCTCACCTCTCATCTTACTGCCTCACCTTTGACGCTGCTCCATCCAGCCATGGCAGGCAGCAGCGACACAAAGTCGTGTGGATCCAAGGGCACTCGCATTTGCTTCCGCTGCAGGGTGAAGAGGGGGGAAGGGAGAGAGGGCGGGGGAGAGGAGAGGGAGGGAGAAGAAAGGCGGATAGATAGATGAGAGGGACACAGAACGAGAGTGGATGAAAAATCTGTGCGGATTCAAGGGAACTCGCATGCCCTGCCGCTGGAGAGGGCAACGGAGGGAGAGGAGTGGCAGCATATGATTGGGGGAGACACACATCTCCCATGAACCGGCACTATCGTAGAATAAACCATGGACGGTGTTTCTGAGGTATTTGGAGGCGTTTTGAGGTGTTTGTGGTGCTTCAAAAAGGGTTTCAGGTGCTCCGGTTGTGTCGAGGAATTCTGAGGTGTTTTGATGCGTTTTTTGGGGTGTAAAAAAGTGCTTGGTGTCTGACAGTGCTTCGAGCCACATGCACGTACACATGCAAGGATGTTGAGGATGACGTCAGCAGCCTGCATGAGGCTTGTCTGCCCCTCGGGTCCCGACCGCAGCTGGTGGTGCATGTTGGTGCGCGCTGTTTCCACCATGTAGTCTATGAGCTGATGGGGGGGAGGAAAGGGGGGTGAGGGGATGAGGGAGGCGGGCGGGTGGGAGGACACATAAGGCATGAGGCTCGTCTGCCCCTCCTCGGGGTCCTGACCACAGCTGGTGGTGCATGTTGGTGCGCGCTGTTTCCACCATGTAGTCTATGAGCTGATGGGGGGGGAAAGGGGGGTGAGGGGATGAGGGAGGCGGGCGGGGTGGGAGGACACATAAGGCATGAGGCTCGTCTGCCCCTCCTCGGTCCTGACCACAGCTGTGGTGCATGTTGGTGCGCGCTGTTTCCACCATGTAGTCTATGAGCTGATGGGCGGGAGGGGAGAAAGGAAGGAGGGATGGGGGAGGAGACATGCATGTGTGTGATGCCACAGGTGCCCCAACACCAACTGCAGTACAGCTGGCGAGTACAGCTTTTTGCAATCAGAGTTCTCCTAGCTAGGGTTTTTTTTTTCACTCTCTTTCATCCTTGCTAAAGCCTTTCTCTAGTGCTGCTGCTGCTGCCCTCCCGCCATGAGTGACAAGGAGACATGCATGCATGCGTGTGATGCCACAGATGACCCAACACCAACTGCAGTACAGCAGTTGGTGAGTACAGTACAGCCCCAACTGCTGCAGTACAGTACAGTACAGTCTGAGGATACTGCTGCAGTCTATGTATGTTGGTTTGGGCAATCTCAAGGGCCATGTTTTGGGCAAGCTCAATGAGTGAGCTGAGCATTGCAGCTCTCAATGTACATTGCTCTATTTACATTGAGCATCCCTACATTGCTACAATGCTCTATGAGAAAAGATCTAGGGAGACAAGATAGTGTTTTCTATTGTGTCTTCTATGTGCGTTTTTTTGCTCACGTGGATGTGGCCTCCTCTCTTGACCAATGATGTGCAGCCACGTGGCTCACTGGTGATGTGCACCAACGCAGGCAGCATGTACTGCACAGCTAGGAGTGGCCTGGAGGAGGTGCGACAAGGGGAGGAAAGAAGGTATAGAGTGGTAAGGTAAGGAGTGGTACGGAGAGGTAAGAAAATGTAAGGAGTGGTACCACAGGCACAGAGGATTGACAACAGTGCAGACAACAGGTAACATACAGCTAGGAGGAATGGCTTGGGATTGAAGGACAGAGCGGGAGGAGAGGTGAAGATTGGTAGGGATTGATAAGAACAGGCAAGGAATGGTAAGGAAAGAACCCACCCCTACCTCCCCCACCTTCCCTCCTAAACCTCCTCCAAACCCCCGTTCAAGCCTCTCCCTTGCCCTGTGCTCACCTTTCCTCTTGCGCGCCTGTGACTCCCAGAAGGAACCCCAGCAGCCGCCCAGCCCTCTGCCTGTGAGCCGAGGGCGCAGCAGACAGGCACAGAGTTCACATAACCAATCCATGCGCTCTCTGTCCCCCACTCACCTCTCCTCCTGCGCGCCTGTGACTGCTAGCAGGAACCCCAGCAGCCGCCCGGCCCTCTGCCTGTGAGCCGAGGGCGCAGCAGACAGGCACAGAGTTCACATAACCAATCCATGCGCTCTCTGTCCCCCACTCACCTCTCCTCCTGCGCGCCTGTGACTGCTAGCAGGAACCCCAGCAGCCGCCCAGCTCTCTTCCTGTGAGCCGAGGGCGCAGCAGCCAGGCACGCCCCCGCCACGCGCACACACGCCACCACCGCCTCCCCACACCACCACTCCCGCTGCTGGGCCAGCTGCAGAAACACTAGGACGTCCTTCAATGCTCCATCCACCAGCTCTGTACATAGCCTGAGCCTCTCAGATTGCTCCCTTACAGATAGCTCCTTTACAGAGAGCTGCCTTTCAGAGAGATGCCCTAGAGACACCCCGTTGGTCTGCCTTTCAGCTGATACAGCCTCCCCCCCTTCAGCCTTTTCTCCAGCTCTCGTTAGTAAGCCCACAGCCGTTTCAACCAGTCTGAAGCACCGATCCAGCTGCTGCTGTGCCTGCCGAACCTCATCCGGAGGTCCGGCATCCTCCGCACCTCCTGCATCCTCCTCCATAGCTGCAAACTCTTCTATACTGAGCTCCCCTAGACCACTCTCCCCTCCCTCTCCTCCTCCTCCACCTCCTCCCCCACCCCCCGCACCTCCTCCTCCCCCCATCCGCGTTAGTAGGAGGCTCCCATATCGCATCCTTCATATCTTTCACTACAGATCTCCAATCCTCATTCGTAGGCACTATAGAGTTCATTCTATCCAAACCTCCCCCCCCCCCCTCCCCCTAACCCTCCCCCTCCGCCTCCCCCTAGCCCTCCACTCCTCATAAGCCCACCTCCCCAGACCTACCCAAACCACCCCCCTCCTCTCGCCAACCCTCCAGATCTCCCCAACCCCCCTCCTCCTCCCCCTCCTCCTCCTCCACCTCCTGCACTGGCCCCTATACCGCCAGAACTCCTGCGTTTCCAGGCCCGAAACGGTCTAGATTGCCTCCTAGGGCAACCCAAGCAGCATCCGCATTGAGTTTGCTCTGATCCGCCCAGCTGCTGCCACTCAGCTTACTCTGCTTGCTCAGATTGCTCTGCTTGCTCAGATTGCTCTCGGCTTTACCAGTGCCATGCAGCTTGGTTATCCCTGTGCTACTACCCGTGCTGGTAGTGCTGCTTCTGCTGCCAGTGCTATCCTCTGTATCCATTGCGGATGTGTGGTTACCAGCACTGAGAGTGCGGTTACCATTGAGCATGTGGTTACCACTATCAGTGTTACTCTCTGCACTCTCTGCTGCTTCTCCATTACAGTCTTCCCCATTCCTCTCTCGCATGCTGTTCTGCTTTAAGCTGTCCTCTGGTTGATGCGGGTCAGTGATGGTTTCAGTAATGGGGTCAGAACTGGGGTCAGTCTCGGGGTCAGTTCCGGGGTCAGTATCGGGGTCAGCATTGGGGTCAGTGACGGGGTCAGTTTCAATTGTAAGGCGAGCTAGGGTGTCGAGAAGACAGGGAATATCCTGCTTTGCTATTCGCAAGAGGGCCAGCACAAAGCTGGTTGGAGCAGGGATGGGGAGTGGGGTTGGAGTGAGAGAAGGGGGGGGCACGAGGGTAGGAAAGGGCACGAGGTTAGGCGGGCAGGGAATAATATTTTCCTTGGAATCACAGAAAAGAACACAAAAAGCAAACAAACAAACAAAGGTTGCAGGTTGTAGATTTAAGCACCTGGCCAAAGAGAGATCAAGGTAATATAGACTCGAAGAGTCTCACCTGTAGTCTAGAATATTTTCCGGAGGAGAAGAGCCAGGGAAATTCTCAGGTGTATTTTCAGGAGGCCCGGCGAGCCAAGAATCTCCAAGAATGCTGGTAACCACATGAGCCAGGTGAAAAGCGTCTTGCTGACTCTCATTCGATACTGGCAGAGGGGAAGCGTCGGGGAGGGAAGCGGGAGGGGAGGAAGAGGGGGAGAGAAGGAGAACAGAGCGTGTTTTTGGCTGCCGACAACCAGACAGCAAGCAGGGAATCAATCAAGGCCCTCCAGACAGATCAGAGCCTGCGGGGGCAAGGCAGGTGCCAGGTGTCTTTCATGGTGGCATCAACCCAATGAGCCAAAACCACAGCAAAGGAAAACGAGGGCAGTGCAACTGAACTCGCACTGAGAATACCTGAGAAGATACCTTGAGGAGCCTCACTACCTTCGGAGCCGCAAGGAAGAAAGGAGGAATAGGCCAGCACTACTAACCTGTGGAAGACAGTAGGATAATCTGAATGCCCCCCCGAAGATCTGCCGCCCGCACCCGACCAGCCACAACAGGCTCGACTCGAGGCTCTTCGCGCTCTGCAGCACACCAAACCATCTGGCTGCTCTGCTACCTTGCATTGAGGCAGTACCCTGAGAGCAGGAACCTCACCAGAGAACAGGAAAGGAGGCCAGGGAAGCAGTACTAACCAGTGGTGGAAGAGAGAATGCACTGAATGCCACCCCGAAGGTCTGCTGCCCACACTCGACCAGCCACAACAGGCTCAAGCCTCTTCACGCCCTGCTGAACCAGACCCTCTAACTGCTCCGGCTCAGCGGTGCTTTGAGTAGCGCTAGACAATGCAGGGCGGTGGTTCTGTTGCTGTTGAGTTGTCGAGAGCAGAGCGAGCAGCAGGGTGACTATCTTGTGCTTGCTGCTGCTGTCTTCGCTTGATGCTAGCTGCCTTGCTAGGGCTGGCACCTGGTATGGTGACCAGAGGGTAACAGAACAGAGTGGTGGTAATCAAGACAAGAATGAGCAGCAGGGTCACTATCTTGTGCTTGCTGCTGCTGTCTTCACTTGAGGCTAGCTGCCTTGCAAGGGCTGGCACCTGAGAAGGAGATGGTAATGAAACTTTGAAACGTCTCAAAACTCGCTTGATGCGAGCTGCCTTGCTAGGGCTGGCACCTGAGAAGCAGATGGTAACGAATGAACTATTGAGAGAAGGGGCAGAGGCAACACGAAAGCTTAGCACTTGCTTGCATAAGGAGCATGATAGGAACAGTTTGGTGAATTTGAGACAAGAAATGGTGACGGGGGGGGAGGGGGAAACGGGAACTGGGATGGGGGACAGGGGGGAACTCACAGCAGCAGCAAGCGAGTCTCCGTGTTGGAAGATATCGAGGGGAGATGCAGCATTGACCAGAACGCTTAGCAGGTCCGCTGCAAGAGCTGAGCAGGAAGGGTCTGTGAGTAGGAGGGAAGAAAAGGGGAGAGTTGAGAGAAGCGTTAACAACAGGACGTTTCTGAGGCGCCTCAGAAACGACCTCTTTGAGGCGCCTCAAAAACGACCTCTTTGAGGCGCCTCAAAAACGACCTCTTTGAGGCGCCTCAAAAGAGACCTTAAGAGCTGAACAGGAAGGGTCTGTGAGTAGGAGGGAAGAAAAGGGGAGAGTTGAGAGAAGCGTTAACAACAGGAGGGTGGGGAAAGGCGGGGGGCGGGGGAAAAGGGGGGCAAGGGGGGGGAGGAGGGGAAGAGGGAGTCTGATTGAAAAATCTTATACAACAAGGGGTGTATGAATGACACATGTGTGAAGGGGAAAAGGGTGAACACAGTACCATGGTGACAACACCACACAAGCTAACAGAGCGTGCGGCCAACACAAGATGCTCTTCTCCCTGCACACCAGCCCATGTGACCATGTGACCACGTGACCATGTGATGTGACCACGTGACCATGTGACCATGTGGTGTGACCACGTGACCATGTGACCAAGTGACCACGTGACCATGTGACCACGTGACCATGTGACCATGTGATGTGACCATGTGACCATGTGACCATGTGATGTGACCATGTGACCATGTGACCATGTGATGTGACCATGTGACCATGTGACCATGTGATGTGACCATGTGACCATGTCACAAGAGGCTCTTCTCCCTCATGCCCTGCCCTCCTACCCTCATGCCCTCATGCCTCCTTCTGAGCCGTTCATTCATGACCTCACATGCTTTACCACCCACCCATGCATGTGCCACATCACGATACCTGTCATGGCAGCAATGGCACCAGTCACTGTGTCGATACCTGTGGTGGCAGCAAGAGAGCGAGCGACCACCCCGGCTATATTGAAATCACTTTTGGGAATTCTCAAAAGTGATTTCAATATGGGACCAGTCACAAGTGGTGTGTCGATACCTGTGATGGCAGCAAGAGAGCGAGCGACCACCCCGAGCATGCCTTGCTCCCTGCACGCCCGCATGCCCGCTTCTGATCCCCGCGCCACCGCCAGCACACATAGGCAAGCGTCTCGGACGAGAGACACTGTCCGCCTGGTAGTTGTGGGGAAGGAGGGAGGAGGGGAAGGATCAAAATGTGTATGTATGTGTAACCATATATATACACACAGGAAGAGAGGCAAGCAAGATCACACAGGCAGGCGTCTTGGAAGAGAGAAACAGTGCGCATGTGGTTGTGGGGAGGGAGGGAGGAGGGGAAGGAGCAGCAGGATAGAGACTCCAAAACAGAGTTTGAGACGGCTCAAACGTTCACATCACCCGTGGAGAATAATCTGGCTGAGAGGGTCCAGCAGGTGGAGTACAGGAGGCAGACAGGCTAGTTCCGGTTGCTCAGTGACCACCACGAGTACAGACACTGCTGCTGCTGCTGCTGCTGCTGCTGCTCCTGCTGCTGACGCTGATGTTGGTGGATCCTGCGTTGGTCCCAGTGCTGTTGCTTCAAGCCTCTCCCCCACTGATTCTTCCAGCAGCGATCGGACGAAGTGAAAGGGCAGCGCGTCAAAACACCTCATGCACCACGTCAGCGTCCCCGCATGCCACGTGGCCTGCTGCAGCTACCAGGCCTGCCGCCATGTCAGCTTCGTCTATGCTCATCAGCAGGTGCAGACATGCGTCCAGAGACGTGGAAGGCTCGTGTGAGGGGTGTGCTGGGGCATCAAGAGACGTGGAAGGCTCGTGTGAGGGGTGTGCTGGGGCATCAAGAGCAGCAGGTGACTTTTGAGTCGACTCAAGAGCAGCAGCTGCTGCATCGGCAGTGGCAACAGAGGGAGCAGCGGCGTCAGCAGGAGCAGCGGCAGCAGAGGTTGCACCCCCTTGCTCTGTGGCACTTTCCTCTTCCATCATCCCTTCATCCCATGCTCCATCGTCCCCACCAACTGAAATATCCATGCTCACAGTAACAGGCCCTCCGCCCTCCTCTTCCCCCTCCTCCTTCCCCCTCGTCTCCTCCTCAACCACCTCAATTTCCTCCTCCCTCTTTCTCTCCTCCTTGACAATCTCTGTTGTCATCGGTCCCTCCATCTCCTCCTTTCTCTCACCCTCCTCCTCAACCTTCCTCCCCCCTTCCTCCTGATCCTCTTTCTCCCCCATGTCCTCCTCCTCCTTCGCCTCCTCCCCATCCTTCCTCCCCCTATCATCCTGCTCCTCTCCCTCCTGCCCTACTTCCTCCACAGCAGCAGCGGCCGAAGCAGCAACAGCCGAAGCAGCAGCAGCAGACTCTGGGATAAAATTTGCAAGCGTAACCCCCAACGGGATCGCATCAGCAGCAGGAGCAGGAGCAGCAGGAGCAAGAGAAGCGGGCGCAGCAGCAGCAGCAGCAGCAGCAGGCGCAATAGAAGCAACAGCAGCAGGGGCAGCAGCAGTCACGAGCAGCAGCCCTTCAGATGTATAAGACCCAAGCAGTGAAGACCCACCAACGTCATCTAAGCCATCACTGTTGTGTGGAGCCTCCGTGCTGCTGTGTGCTGGCACTTCATTCATGGTCAGTTCCTGCATGCCATTCTCCACAGCCTTGGCCTCAGTGAGAGGAACAGCAGCAGCAGGAGGAGGAACAGCAGCAGCGGGAACAGCGGCAGGAGGAGGAGGAACAGCAGCAGCGGGAACAGTAGCAGGAGGAGGAGCAGCAGCAAGTGGAACGGCAGCAGGAGGATCAACAGGAGGAGGAGCAGCAACAAGGGGAGCAGTAGCAGGTGCAGCAGCGACAGCAGCGGCAGCAACAGCAGCAGCAGCAGCAGCAGCAGCAGCAGCAGCAGCAGCAGCAGCACCTGCAGCAAACGCCGAAGCCTCTTTCTCCTCCTCCACAACTGATGAATTTTCTCTGTCTCCGACTAGATGGCTAACAGAATTCGCACTAGTCACTTCGTCTTCCGTGTTATCCGCTAGTGAAACCGCGGGCCCTTGATGCATTGGCCCTTCGTCCACCTCCATTCGCGAAGGGCCTGCGAACGTCTGGCGAACTTCGTCATCGTCCAAAACCTTGACGTTGGTTTTCTTGAGCGGGTTTCCCAGCAGCAGTTCCGACGACTGCGACTGCGACGGCGACGTGTGTGACTGTGACGGCGACGTGTGCGACTGGGATGGCGACGCGTGCGACATGTCCAGCAACGGGTCTGCCGCAGCAGAAGCGCCGCTGTCAGCAGCTTCAGTGACATTGCCAGGGACCGCTTCAAGTTCCTTTTCGCTTCCCGACTCCATCCCAAAGGACGATCTTGACGCAGTTTTGCGTCTGGCTGTCGTCGGTCCAGATACAGACTTCCCACCTGTCCCGCTGCTCGACTCCGAGCCTATAGACGAGGTATGGGACGAGGTTCGGTCTCGGCGCGATCGGGATTGTAGCAGGCCGAGAAAGCCTCGTTTCCCAGGGGAGCGGCTCGCTTGCTGTAGCTCCGGCGTGCCTGGTTCGGCTAGAGGTTCGGTTGAAGGTACGGCTGCAGGTTCGGATGGTTTAGGGTCGGGAGAAAGGTGGTGCTTGATCGTCTCTTTCAGAGACCGAGTGTGCGCGAAATTGTGATCGTTGGGAGTGTGACTATTGTGGGAGTGATACTTGGCGCTGTGACTGAACGGCCACATCCCTCGCAGAAACGTGCCATAAGCAGGCTTGCTGCGCGGTGAAGGTCGGTCGTCTGCTGTAACTATGGTGTCGACTCCATCTGCTTCGAACTCTTGAGTCTTAAGTTCCGCCATTTTCAGAGCACGCATACAATTGAGTGGCGGGCTTCAAGCGAGTGGCCGGAGAAAATTACGAAACGCGAAAAGAAGGCGCGTGGCTACTAATGCCCGCTAAGTTGTAAGAATTGACGAATCAGTACTTAGATATGTCATCGCCTGCAGCGCAAGCCTTCCTGCCTAAAGGTAAACAAGGAAGACAGCAATAATAGCTGAAAGGGACTATTGTATGCGAGAGCGGTAATAAGAAACATTATCCACTAGCACACTAGTTGATCATGTGCTAAACTGCTAAAATACTACAATCTACTGGACGATCTTCCCTATCGTCTGCAGTCGCGTACGTAAACCTTTTGAATATCTAGGACACAAATGACAGAACGACCTTTGCAGCTGAAGTTATTATAGTAGAGGGAACTATTGAAGTGAAAGTTAGGAGCAAGAATGCGAGTGACATGGAAGGGAGTGAAAAGCAGCAGGGAAATTCACTGAAAATATGAGGAGGTGCGTTACGGTCTAACACGGTGATAGACAATAACCGTTTTGTAACGTCTCGAATTCGACCGAACCGCACTGGATGACCAATGGACAATTACGCCAGTCCTTGAAACATCAGTGCAGCAGAAGACGGATGGCCACTCATATAGCTCGACCAATCCACCACACAAAATTCTTGTGAGGGCATTGGCGGTGGTGTGACAGACATCACAGGGAATCGAGAGCAGAGCAGTCGTTGCCCGGCGAAAGCCTCGGTTCCAACGAGCCGCCTGTTACACATACTGTAATACGACCGGATGACGACACTCCAAGTTACTGTGCCTGCGAATTCAAATATCTCGTGAGCGTTACCCATTCGTACGCGAAATAAGTTGTAAGTTGTTGATGACTGTGGGATCGCTGCATCCCATCTGTTGCTCTGCCAGCCTTGCATCAGGGGAAGAGGCTCGCAAAGCTTGGCTTTCAACAACTCCCACTCAACAAGAGACAGATCCTCATCAACGAGTTGGACATTATTCGTTACTCAATGCACCCATGCGTGGTTATCGCTTTCTACATCTGGACCATTTGCAATTTCACCAAAAGAAACGTTATTTTTTTATGCTGTGGCCAGGTTTCCATCCACACGTTTCAATCTACACATTGGCAAAAAATATAACGCCAATGTTTTCAGAAGGGAAGCACCATAAGAAACTTAGGTTTCTTATGGTGTTGCCACCATATATAGCATCATAATTCGTGGAACAATGGGCCGGTGGAGAAATGAGAGGATCACTAGATTCAATACCCCAAGGGTATGGGCGAAGGCGAGGTTATGCCTACTAGTCGCAGTTAAGGAAACTGGGCTCCATGAATTGGTAGACAACGTTCCTCTTCGCGTCCCGCGTTACATTGCGCACCCCGCACTCCGACTCGTCATTGAAAAGTAGACAGCTGCCTCGGCAGGAAGGAACCTTGTAACTGCACATACAAAAGCAAGGCACATTAAAGAGTGGTTTTTTTAAGGCGCCTAAAAAATCCCGGCAGGGTGAAAACTTGTAACGACACATGCAATAGCAAGGTGCAAGAATGTCATTTTGCACCTCTTCTCAACAAAGGCCCACAGGTTGCAGTAGTTCTTTCTTGTACTGCTTCTGCTGAGCCTGGGCCCCCTGGCACATCTTCTGGCACCGCTTTGTCGCAGATGTTTCTGGAAATCCTAAACCAGCACAACACATCCAACAGGGGATGTGAACATGCCTCTCACGTGTTCTCCACGAAGGCCCACAGGTTGCAGTAGTTCTTGTAGTGCTTCGTCTGTGACTGGGCCCTCTGGCACATCTGCTGGCTCTTCCTTGGAGAAGAGGTGCCAGACATCAACACCGTTACTTCTGGATCTCTCACCTGTTCTCCACAAAGGCCCACAGGTTGCAGTAGTTCTTGTACAGCTTCGTCTGTGTCTGGGCCCTCTGACACATCTGCTGGCAGCGCTTGGAGGAAGCAGCCTGTGTGGCGTTGTTAAGGTTGGAGAGCTCGCCTGTGAGCTCTTGAATCTGCTTGTGGGAGGGGAGAGAGGCAGAAGGGGACCAAGGGTAGAGGGAGAAATGTGGGGCTCGTACACTGGTGGGGGCCGTGCCTGGGAATTCTGGCGCATCTGCTGGCAGCGCTTGGAGGAAGCAGCCTGTGTGGCGTTGTTAAGGTTGGAGAGCTCGCCTGTAAGCTCTTGAATCTGCTTGTGGGAGGGGAGAGAGGAAGAAGGGGATCAAGGGTAGAGGGAGAAATGTGGGGCTCGTACACTGGTGGGGGCCATGCCTGGGAATTCTGGCGCATTTGCTGGCACTGCTTGGCTGAAGCAGCTTGTGTGGCGTTGTTGAGGCTCGAGAGCTCGCCTGTAAGCTCTTGAATCTGCTTGTGGGAGGGGAGAGAGGCAGGGGGCGGGGAACGGAAAAGAGGAGGGTTATGGATGGGGGGAATGGGATGAGGTTCTGGGCCCTCTGGCACATCCTGCTGGCAGCACTTGGAGGAAGCAGCTTGTGTGGCGTTGTTGCACAGCACACAGTGAAGACAGGGCAGACAGTGCAGGCAGTGCAGGCAGTGCAGTGCTCCTTGTGTCCCTTACTGTCACATTCTTTATAGTCGCAGCCACGCAACTTGTCCACGGTGCCACACACGGTGTAGCGCCCCTTCTGGCCGGAGAAAGAACCCCTCAGCACAGGCAACACACTTCGACTCCATCGTGTATCCCATTTTGCACACAGTGCGCAGTGCCCCTTGTCCCTCCCTCTCACATGCTTTATTCTCACACCCACTCGCCCTATTCTCCCTGCCACGCACCTTATCCACGGTGCCACACATGGTGCAGCGCCCCTTCTGACCGGAGAAGAACCCCTGGGACACATGCCACGCACTTGGATTCCATCGTGTACCGCATCTTGCACGCAGTGCTCCTTGCCCCTCCCTCTCACATACACAATCTCCCACTGCCTGCAAAATGAAAGTCCAAACCACCTTATCCCCCTTGCCTTGCTACCCACCTTGTCCACGGTGCCACACACGGTGCAGCGCCCCTTCTGCCCTGAGAAGAACCCTGGGGCACAGGCCACGCACTTGGACTCCATCGTGTACCCCATCTTGCACACCGTGCAGGCAGTGCTCCTTGAGTCCCTCACTCTCACATGCTATATTGTCCCTGACACCCACCTTATCCACACTACCACGCACCTTATCCACACTACCACGCACCTTGTCCACACTACCACGCACCTTGTCCACACTACCACGCACCTTGTCCACACTACCACGCACCTTGTCCACACTACCACGCACCTTGTCCACACTACCACGCACCTTGTCCACACTACCACGCACCTTGTCCACACTACCACGCACCTTGTCCACACTACCACGCACCTTGTCCACACTACCACGCACCTTGTCCACGGTGCCACACACCTTGTCCATGGTGCCACACACCTTGTCCACACTACCACGCACCTTATCCGGTTCCACACACGGTGCAGCGCCCCTTCTGCCCTGAGAAGAACCCCGGAGCGCAGGCCACACACTTGGACTCCATCGTGTACCCCATCTTGCACGCAGTGCTCCTTGCCCCTCCCTCTCACATACTTAATCATCACATGCATTATCGTCGCATGCTTTATTCTCACAGCCACGCACCTTGTCCACAGTGCCACAAACGGTGCAGCGCCCCTTCTGACCGGAGAAGAACCCCGGGGAGCAGGCCACGCACTTGGACTCGAGCGTGTACCCCATCTTGCACACAGTGCTCCCTGCCCCTCCCTCTCACATACACTCTCCCACTGCCTGCAAAATGAAAGTCCAAACCACCTTATCCCCATTGCCTTGCTACCCACCTTGTCCACGGTGCCACACACGGTGCAGCGCCCCTTCTGACCGGAGAAGAACCCCGGGGAGCAGGCCACGCACTTGGACTCGAGCGTGTACCCCATCTTGCACACAGTGCTCCCTGCCCCTCCCTCTCACATACACTCTCCCACTGCCTGCAAAATGAAAGTCCAAACCACCTTATCCCCATTGCATTGCTACCCACCTTGTCCACGGTGCCACACACTGTGCAGCGCCCCTTCTGACCGGAGAAGAACCCCGGGGAGCAGGCCACGCACTTGGACTCGAGCGTGTACCCCATCTTGCACACAGTGCAGGCTTTGGCAGGGTCGAACTGGTTCTGGCACTTGCAATAGGGGTTCATATCGGAGTCGAGTGCACAGGTGCCGCGGCTGTTACAGTCGTTAGAGCAGCCGGTGCAGCCACTGGGAGGGAGAGGGATGGAGGAAGGGAGTGGGTTTTGGGGGAAGCAGATAGGGGGAAAGGTAGGAGGAATGAGAGGAGGTTAACACAGGGCATGAGCCTTACAGGCAGAGGAGGCTCACATGCAAGGGCAGACGCCTTACCTGCAGCTCTGAACCTCCTTCAGGGTTTAGGGTTTTCCGGATCCGCCTCGGCCCCATGCTACCACACGCAGTCACGGTGCCGTCACTCGTCCCGGCGTTCATGTCATTCGACACGGGATACACCGGCGCCCTGCTGCGGCGGAAGTTTCTCCTGTGAAACAGGAACCCTACTTCCCGGGCTCAGAAGTCTCACCTGCAGCTCTGGACTTCCTTCAAGGCAGGTGTTTTCCTTATTCTCCTCGGCCCCGTGCTACCACACGCGGTAACCGTGCCGTCACTCGTCCCGGCGTTCATGTCATTCGACACGGGATACACCGGCGCCCTGTTGCGCCAAAAGCTACTCTTGCACAACACTGAACCCTACTTCCCGGGCTCAGAAGTCTCACCTGCAGCTCTGGACTTCCTTCAAGGCAGGCGTTTTCCTTATTCTCCTGGGTCCAGTGCTCCCACACGCAGTCACCGTGCCGTCACTCGTCCCGGCGTTCATGTCATTCGACACGGGATACACCGGCGCCCTGTTGCGTCGGAAGTTGGAGCTGCAGAACTGCACCACCGCGCCCTGCGCTTGTATGGAGATGGCACCGCCTCGCCCGTTCATCACTGCGTTAGCTGAGAAGCGCGTCCCGATGGAGGTGAGGATTGGACTTGTGGTGAGGATAGCACCGCCGCCACGAGCTGAGGAGGGGAACGGGGGGATGTGGGGGGGGGGGGGAAGGGAGGGGGGGACAGTGGATACCACTGCGTTGGCAGAGAATCTAGTGCCGATGGAGGTGAGGATTGGACTTGTGGTGAGGATAGCACCGCCGCCACGAGCTGAGGAGGGGAACGGGGGGATGTGGGGGGGGGGGGGAAGGGAGGGGGGACAGTGGATACCACTGCGTTGGCAGAGAATCTAGTGCCGATGGAGGTGAGGATTGGACTTGTGGTGAGGATAGCACCGCCGCCACGAGCTGAGGAGGGGAACGGGGGGATGTGGGGGGGGGGGGGGGAAGGGAGGGGGGACAGTGGATACCACTGCGTTGGCAGAGAATCTAGTGCCGATGGAGGTGAGGATTGGACTGGTGGTGAGGATAGCACCGCCGCCACGAGCTGAGGGAAACGGGGACGATGGGGAAGGGGGGCAATGAGGAAGTAGAGAAGGAGGGACGCGAGAAAGTGGCCTAGGGTCTGGGAGGAACCTATGTGTGTGTGTGGTTGCCAACAGCGTTCTACACACAGTTGACTTTTGAGTTGACTCAAAATGACTTTTGACTTTAGAGTCGACTCAAGAGAGAATGTGGCATCGGGTCTGAGAGGAACCTAAGTGTGTGTTATGAGAATTCTCAAAAGTAACACCAAGACGAACCTGTGTGTGTGGTTTTCAACAGTGTTCTGCACACAGATCGATTAGATTCTGTTACGCCGCAAAGCCGGTCAAAAGGCGAGCATGTGTAACATATGCGTTACCAGCAGCTGATGAGCAAGTGTAATTACCAGCGGTGTTCTGGGAGAAGGTCGACTGGAGCAGGTAAAGCTCGCTCCCTTCGGAAAAAATTGTGGCCTGTCTTTGAGGAGCCTCAAAAACCAGCAGATGAGCAACTGTAATTACCAGCAGTGTTCTGGGAGAACGTCGACTGGCGCAGGTAAAGCTCACTCCCTTCGGAATAAATCGCGCCTCCACTGCGTCCCGCTGAGTTTTTACTGAAAGTGCACTTAGCGATCTTCACATCGGGCCCTCCCGTGGGGTCCCTCCCCACGTTGATAACGCCGCCATTGCCGGCAGCTGTGTTGTTAAGGAAGACGCACGTAGTGAACTGCAGGGGCGTGCCAGCAGTGGGTGAGCTGTCTCTAGAGCTGGAGAGGAAAAAGGGACAAAGGGAGATGGGGGAGAAGGACAGTAGGGAAGAGAGACATGTGAGGGCGGTGTTATTGAGGAGGAAGCAGGAAGTTAACTGCAGGGGCGAGCCAGCCGTGGGGTGGGTGAGCTGTCTCTAGAGCTGGAGAGGAAAAAGGGACAAGGGGAGATGGGGGAGAAGGACAGTAGGGAAGAGAGACGTGTGACGGCGGTGTTATTGAGGAAGACGCACGTAGTGAACTGCAGGGGCGAGCCAGCCGTGGGTGAGCTGTCCCTCGAGCTGGCGGGGGGTTAGAGGGAGATACAAAGGACAGTGAGGGGAGCGAGAGATTGTGAGTGATCGACCTGCCCACTCTCCTGTTGGCAGAGCAAACGTGTTGAGATAGAAGCAGGTGAACTGCAGGGGCGATCCAGCGGTAGGTGAGCTGTCCTTAAAGCTGGAAGAAGGGAACTCGGCGCGCATCTACTAGCTGAAGCGTTCAGGCACTCACTAGCTGACACTCACTTGAAAACCGCTCATCCAGTGGAGCTCTTGTCCGCGACATTGTGCTGGAAGGTGACTCGGCGCGCAGCTGTTAGCTCGTTTATGATCCGTTGATCTAACAACTGGGCTGATCTAGTTCGTTACAAGCACTCACTTGAAAACCGCCCCGCCTGTGGAGCTCTTGTCCGCCACGTTGTGCTGGAAGGTGACTCGGCGCGCAGCGAACTGGCAGGCGCCCACGTGCACGCCGTTGAGCGCGTGCTGCACCACCAGGTTCTCCAGCACGATGCCGCACGCGAAGTTACCCGAGAATATGCGAAACTTCTTGTTACCGTCGACGATGCAACTGAGAGGGGTTGGGGGTGGGAGAGAAGGACAGCGAGGGGCGTGACGGGAGGGAAAACGGATCGCTTGAGGGGGAAGGGCGTGAGGTAAACGGAGTGAACGAGGCGCGAGAGCTGACAGGGAGGTCATGAGCAAGTGAGTACCAGTCTTGAATGGTAACTATGTAACTATCACGAATGTCGAAGATTTGCGCGCACTCGACGTAGTAGGAACTTCCTACTACGCTGATTTACAATCGGAGGAGGGTAGACGACACACGCTGACTCCTTGAGTTTGTTCCTCGACGCAGGTCAATACTCGCACTACTAAAAAATCACCTCGACGTAACAGTAAGGAACATTTTGAGGCGTCTCAAAAGTCGTCTCATTACCCGCAATTTTGAGGCGCCTCAAAAGACGAACTCACACCACTCAGAAATCACCTCAGCGTAACAGTAAGTAGCATCCAAGGAGCAAATGTCACTACTCACACTTTATTATTTCTGTTGTCACAGGCGCCTTTCAGGATGATTCCGGAAGCGAACCCGATGGCAGGGAACCCACTGCGCGGAGCAAGCGAGGCGAAAGGAGGGGACACGAACGCAAAGAATGAGGTGAGGTTACCACGTAACAGAGCCTGGGCAGAAACCGGCTACTGGAACTCGCTGAGGTGCTATTGAGGGGTAGTACTGAGATGTTAGAAGGTACTATAATGCACTGACATGGAAAATACTGCATTGGAGGGGGGACTGTAGCATTGACATGTATGCTTGCCTGGTAAGCGTGATGTCACTTTTGAGTGTCACCTCCACCATGGCTGTCTGTCAGTTACGGAGAATGCGGGGTATGGGTGCAAGATAGAATGCCAGTCAGAACGTCGTAAAAAACAACGTCGAAAGCTATAATCAAGGGGGTCGATGCATGACACGAGCGGCGAGCTCAACAGACTGATAAAACCAGGCTGTAATGCTGATATGTTGTTTCATTCATCCGACCAGCAGACTGTATGCTGAAACTTCAGGCCTGGAAAAACCAGCACTGAACGCTGAAGGTTATTATTGCTCGTGGTTTTACCTTGGAGCCTGCTTGAGCTATCGCGCTCCGAATGGTCGACTCCGCGTTGCTGCCGCTCGCGGTGACGAAGATCGTCGGCTTCTTGATGAAGTTTGACGAGCCCTGCGACAGAATCCGTCGCTGACCCTGTCGCTCATTTCCTGCACATGTTCGCACGAGAACCTTGGGATTTGATCTACTCGAGGATCTTAGCTACAGGAACCATCCGAGAAGCACCTGAAATAATAAGGCGGCATTTCGCATAAAACACTGCCGTTGGATCTTACCTAAAGAGTGGAGTGCTTCTGCATCGCCTGAGCCGACAACCAGAAGAACTGCTACTAACAGAAACGTCGCAACTTTCCGCATGTTTTTTGTATCCTGACGACGAGACGAGCAGTATTAAATCAGCGCTTCCGCCTTAAGTGCTAGTACTTCCGCGTTCAGTGCTAGTTTGACGCAGCGTCCCGCAGCATAAAGAGCTTCAGGTAAGCGAAATGCGTAACAGATCGCAGAGCGTCTGGGTACAGCGAGGTGCAGTGAGGTGCAGCAAGATGGTGATAAGTCAGCTGAGAATGACGAGATGAGGCAACTTCTAAAAGGTCAGATAGTATCAAGAATGATAAGAGGTCTTCGATGAACCGTTTAACTAGTTCATGGTGGGACGGGATACGTCAGCTCTAAGCTCATAGCTTTATTCTCTATGGCAACCTTATCTCCTCCGTGTGCTCGGAACGGAATTATTGGTGTGATGTGAAACACGGCGTTATTAGTTGTTCAGCCAGGTACGATACTGCTGCTGCTGTGGTTCCATTCCACGGACTTCACAGTACAATAATTGCTGGTAGTTTTTTGGGTTGCGTTGCGTAGCTATCTCCAACTCCGTACAATTGCTTTCAAATCTCCAAGCTTCAGACCATTGCACACCAGAGTGAACCCTGAGATGCATCTCTTTGGGATTGGTTCCACCGTCACTTTGATGGGCCAGGTCTGGTGGAGCAGAGCGCTCGCAGCGCGCCGCCATTGCCTAGGAATTTCCGTGTCTTACGGCGATGTACATCGAGAAATGCTGAGGCTTGACGGAGCCGCTCCAGGAGTGGACTCGGGCAGCCGTCAGCCACGACGAAGTGACGGCGGACGTTCTTTTTAAAAATGACCATCTGACCTGACACGGGCGTATTCTACAAGTTTATGCGCGGAAAAAAATGACTCCCTGGCGAGTTCAAGCAACACCACATACTCTCGCTCACCAAATATCAGCTGAAGGGCAGTGCAAGTCGCAAAAAAACAAGAACTTTCACATCTAATCGTAGGCGTCCCTGCCTGGGCAGCTGCGAATCAGGTGCAACCATTTTCGTGCACTGGTGAAAATGACCTGTAACACAATTTGTCAGCCAAACCCCTGAGGTTATTGTTCATGACTTATCTTAAAACCCAAAACCTGAATTGTTCAACGGAAGTCAACTGCAGGCAAAACTCTGGGGCGCGGCAGGCAAACTGTGCACAGTTTGCCCTCTTTTTTTGTAATTCAGGTTTTGGGCTTTAAACTCCCTTCTTTTTGTCAGGAAAAGAATGTTCTTAGTCCATGCTTCAAAATTATCTTATTTCGCCACAGTTAACTGCATCTCTAAAATTCATACCCTGCTCATGGGTGGATTAATCCAGCTGACTTTAAATTCAGAGGTTATGAGAACAAACTCAAGAGTCTTGAAGCCCAGGACAGGACTACATCTGCTATAACTAAGGGTTTATAAACGACCATTTATGCCTCAATACAGCAAACGTTGAGGCGCCTGCAACACAACATGTATCCTTCTTAAGGCCGAGTACGAACGGGAACTAGAGCTGCTGCAACTGAGACACAATAGGCGGGGGAACGCGGGCCATGGCGGCTTGGAATTGCTGCTCCCCATGCACAGCCACACACGCCTGCAGCTTCTCCTTTAAGAACGGCCCCACTGCTACCCGGTGCACGGGGTCTATGGATGCTACTTGGCGCCGCCTCAGAGCCTCACACTCCACGGGAGCACCTTCCCCTCCCTGAATCGAGTCTGATACCGATGCATAGTCGTAGCTGTAGGGGGCAGATGTGGGGAGAGGAGAGGGAGAGGGGCAAAAGGGGGTTTGCCTTCAGGAACGGCCCCACTGCTACCCGGTGCACGGGGTCTATGGACGCTACCTGGCATGGGGTCTACACAAGGGCCCATATCGCCCACCCATGGTGACCCGGTGCACGGGGTCTATGGATGCTACTTGGCGCCGCCTCAGCGCCTGCCACTCCACTGGAGCTCCTTCTCCTCCTTGTTTGTAATCCGAGACAGACGCATAGTCGTGACTGCAGGGGGGAAGAGGGGTGTGGAGTGGGGAAGTGGGCGGACCGGGGTTGGTTGGGGAACAGAGATTGGAGCAGGAAGGCAGCACATTGCACGGGGTACAAGGGTGCCAGCCAGCCATATTCCCCACGCACCCCCACCCAGTGCACGGGGACTAAGGACGCCTCTGTGTCTTGGCCTTCTCGTCACGGGAGCTACCGGCAGAGAGTATGAGGTCAAGCCCCTTTTGAGAATTCTCAAAAAACACGTTTTGAGAATTCTCAAAAAACATGGTCGAGCCCCTTTTGAGTCGACTCAAAAGCTACCGGCAGAGAGTATGAGGTCGAGCCCCTTCCTGATGAAGGCCGTCACGAGAAGCCGGCAACTCACCCAACCGTGGAGATGTCTGGCAGCAGTGGCGTGTTGTCGGGATCGTCCTCTCCCAGAGAGCCTGTGCAGACAGAGAGAATGAGGTCTCACCTTTCCCAACTAGGGCTGTCACGAGAAGTTAGCAACTCACCCAACGGTGGAGATGTCTGGCAGCAACGGCGTGTTGTCGGGATTGTCCTCCCCAAGAGAGCCCGTGCAGACGGAGAGAATGAGGTCGAGTCTCTCCAGTATCTGTGGCTCAGGCATCGTCAGCAGCACTGCCAGGGCCAGAGTGGAAAGTTTCCGCTTCGCTGGAACTGAGACAGAGTCCACCTGTGGGGGAGGAAGGGGGTGGGGAAGGGAGGAAAATAAAGAGCCAGTGCACACGGAGAGAAGAGAGCATTGTGAGCAGCACTGCCAGGGCCAGAGTGGAGAGTTTCCGTTTCGCTGGTACTGAGACAGAGTCGACCTGTGGAAGGGAGGGAGGGAGGGAGGGAGGGGAGACGACGAGCAGTGGTGAATAGAGATAGAGACAATGAGGTCGAGTCTCTCCAGTATCTGCGGCTGTGGCATCGTCAACAGCAATGCCAGGGCCAGAGTGGAAAGTTTCCGCTTTGCTGGAACTGAGACAGAGTCGACCTGTGGGGGAGGAGGAGGGCAGGAAGGGAGCAGGAAGGGAGGGGAGCAGGGAGGGAGGGGAGCAGAGAGGGAGGTAAGGGAGAGAAGACGAAAGGGCAACTGTGGACAGATGGTAAGAATGAGGTCGTTTTGCCAGAGAAAGAGAGAGGGAGAGAGCAGTGGTAGCACCCACCTTATCCAACCAAGCATCCAGGAATAGCGCAAGGGGAGGGGCGTTGCCCTTTGCTGCTGACTGCTGCTGCAGCAGGTGGCGAGTCGAGTCGGCGGATATGAACTGGGCGAAGTAGGAGCTGTTCTGTAGCACCACCCGTGCGAGCACTGTGGCGCATGTGCCTCTAACGAGGTCAGAGTATTCTGTTGGTCCGATGATTATCAGCAGCAGTTTCTGCAATGCGGGGTGAAGGACAGGAGGAGGAATATAACTTTGGAAAAAGGCCATGGAAAAAGACTAAGGAATGGGCACGATGGAGGGGAAGAGAAGGAAGGATAGGCGACATAAAACAGATCAACAGCATGAGTGATTGCATTTTCTCCTCAAATTGACACAAGAAAGCAAACAACAAATAGGAATGTTGCTTCTAATGCACGCCATTCTTCCTGCTTCTTGCTTCTAATGCACACTGAAGCAGCAGAATCAGCAAGTGGCCTACACCGTTCTTCCTATTTATTGCTGATTGTCACCTGAAGGACGGACTCGAGAGCAGGAGGGGCCTCTGATGGATAACACTGCAAAAAGAGACACAAGGCAATGCAAACCACAATTACTAAGACGCACAAAAAAACACTGCTTCCTTGCAGTCGCATCAGCAGCAGCATGGCCTTCTCCTTCACATTCCCCACCACCGCGTCAATCATCCCCACAAGGCCAGCCTTCCCCTATGCCATTGCCCGACTCACTACACAGACGCTAGCCGTACAAGTTTGTCTCTCACCTGGATGATGAGGTCTACAAGCCCCGCCACCAGCAGCATCGCCTTCTCCTTCACATTCCCCACCACCGCATCAATCATTGACACGAGGCTCCCTGCGTGCTGCTGCAGGAACGCCGGCCCGCCCACCAGCACATAGCTCTCCATGATTGCTGTGGCCACCTGCAAGTTCGAGTGGCAAAGGCATGGAACACGTTAAGAACATACGCATGCACAGGCAACACGTGAGGCTCCCCGCATGCTGCTGCAGGAACGCCGGCCCGCCCACCAGCACATAGCTCTCCATTATTGCTGTGGCTACCTGGCAGTTTGAATGGACAGTCAGGGTAGAGTAGTGTACCACATTAGTAACATGCAGTAGACACACAAGCATGCTGCTGCAGGAACACTGGCCCGCCCACCAGCACATAGCTCAACATGATTGCCGTGGCCACCTGCGAGTTGAAATACGGACCCATACGGTATCACGCTAGAATGCACTCCTGCTGCAGGAACGCGCGCCCGCCCACCAGCACTTAGCTCTCCATGATTAATGTGGCTACCTGGCCGTTGGGAGTGGCGTAGGTAGGGTAAACATTAGAAACATGTAGGCGGTAGACACACGTGCAACCATGCTGCTTCAGGAAAACTGGCCCACCAACCAGCACATAGCTCTCCATGATGGCGGTCACTACCGCGCGCCTTGGTCTGCGCGCGCCTTGGACCACGCGCGCAGCTTTGGTCCACGCGCGCACCTTGGTCCACGCGCGCGCCTTGGTCCACGCGCGCGCCTTGGTCCACGCGCGCGCCTTGGTCCACGCGCGCGCCTTGGTCCACGCGCGCGCCTTGGTCCACGCGCGCACCTTGGTCCACGCGCGCGCCTTGGTCCACGCGCGCGCCTTGGTCCACGCGCGCGCCTTGGTCTACGCGCGCGCCTTGGTCCACGCGCGCGCCTTGGTCCACGCGCGCGCCTTGGTCCACGCGCGCGCCTTGGTCCACGCGCGCGCCTTGGTCTACGCGCGCGCCTTGGTCCACGCGCGCGCCTTGGTCCACGCGCGCGCTTTGGTCCAAGCGCGCGCCTTGGTCCACGCGCGCGCCTTGGTCCACGCGCGCGCCTTGGTCCACGCACGCGCCTTGGTCCACGCGCGCGCCTTGGTCCACGCGCGCGCCTTGGTCCACGCGCGCGCCTTGGTCTACGCGCGCGCCTTGGTCCACGCGCGCGCCTTGGTCCACGCGCGCGCCTTGGTCCACGCGCGCGCCTTGGTCCACGCGCGCGCCTTGGTCCACGCGCGCGCCTTGGTCCACGCGCGCGCCTTGGTCCACGCGCGCGCCTTGGTCTACGCGCGCGCCTTGGTCCACGCGCGCGCCTTGGTCCACGCGCGCGCCTTGGTCCACGCGCGCGCCTTGGTCCACGCGCGCGCCTTGGTCTACGCGCGCGCCTTGGTCTACGCGCGCGCCTTGGTCCACGCGCGCGCCTTGGTCCACGCGCGCGCTTTGGTCCAAGCGCGCGCCTTGGTCCACGCGCGCGCCTTGGTCCACGCGCGCGCCTTGGTCCACGCGCGCGCCTTGGTCCACGCGCACGCCTTGGTCCACGCGCGCGCCTTGGTCCACGCGCGCGCCTTGGTCTACGCGCGCGCCTTGGTCCACGCGCGCGCCTTGGTCCACGCGCGCGCCTTGGTCCACGCGCGCGCTTTGGTCCACGCGCGCGCCTTGGTCCACGCGCGCGCCTTGGTCCACGCGCGCGCCTTGGTCCACGCGCGCGCCTTGGTCCACGCGCGCGCCTTGGTCCACGCGCGCGCCTTGGTTCAAGTGAGCAAGGCCAACCTTATGCTTGATCAGCTCCCTCCAACAATCACCTGGCAATGCCGAAGGCTCAACTGGCAATGCAAATGGCTTACCGGGAGGTGCTCAAAGCTGCGGTCCATGATGGGCACGAGGTTGGCGAAGAGAGTCATGAGTTCACCAACAAGGGGACACAATGGGAAGGGCTCACTAGCTTATTTGGCAATGTCAATGGCTCACCTGGCAATGCAAATGGCTTACCGGCAGGTGCTCAAAGCTGCGGTCCATGATGGGCACGAGGTTGGCGAAGAGAGTCATGAGTTCACCAACAAGGGGACACAATGGGAAGGGCTCACTAGCTTATTTGGCAATGTCAATGGCTCACCTGGCAATGCAAATGGCTTACCGGCAGGTGCTCAAAGCTGCGGTCCATGATGGGCACGAGGTTGGCGAAGAGAGTCATGAATTCCGGTACCATGGCTGGTGCATGGCGCAGTGTGGCTTGCCATAGCTGCGAGGAGTGGGGGGGTATGAAGAGAGAGTGCGGGGGGTGAACATGAGTTCCGGCATCATGGCTGGTGCTCGCTATAGCGTAGTGTGGCTTGCCATAACTGCGACGAGTGGAGGGGTGTGAGTGAGGTGCAAGAGGAGGAAGAGAAAGTAAGTCAGAGGCAAAGACGAGCAAGAGGACAGTACGAGACAAATTAAAAGAAGCTGTTGGATTGTGGTTTGTAGAGAAAGTGGTCCTAGAGAGACACTCACCTGAAGCCCGCCCGTCCTCCAGCATGTTGAGTTCATCTGGCTGGGAGATGTCGGTGCTGTAGCGCAGGATGGGGAAGAGCAGTGCTCTCTCCCATGAGTGCATCAACACTAACCACAGATGGAGGATGTGGAAAGGAATGGTTTACCTGCAAACCGTCTTCCAGCATGTTAAGCTCATCGGGCTGGGATATATCGGTGCTGTATCGCAGGATGGGGAAGAGCAGCAGACGCAGTATGTACCCCTTACTATAGGGAACTTTCTCACACGTCCACGCACACACACACCTGCAAACCGTCTTCTAACATGTTGAGTTCATCCGGCTGGGAGATGTCGGTGCTGTAGCGCAGGATGGGGACGAGCAGCGGGTAGGAGACGTGCCGTTCGAGTGGTTTTACACAAATGTTACAGGGACAGGTGAAGGAGAACTGGTTGGAAACACACACGAAAGGTTTACCTGCAATCCGTCTTCTAACATGTTGAGCTCGTCAGGCTGAGAGATGTCGGTGCTGTAGCACAGGATGGGGAAGAGCAGCGGGTACGAGATTCTTACGAGAGAGGAATATGACTACCCCCTGCCCTGGATTATGGGGAATGGATACACACGCACACACAAGCATGCGCACCTGTAGCCCATCTTCCAGCATGTTGAGTTCATCTGGCTGAGAAATGTCGGTGCTGTAGCGCAGGATGGGGAAGAGCAGCGGGTAGGAGATGAGTCTTTCCAGTACACTCAAATGATGCATACAGAAGAGGTTTACCTGAAGCCCGTCCTCCAGCATATTGAGTTCATCAGGCTGGGAGATGTCGGTGCTGTAGCGCAGGATGGGGAAGAGCAGCGGGTAGGAGATCGGAGACTGCGGGCCGAGCGACACGATGAGGCGTTGCAACGCCTGCATGACTTGAATGCGTAGCAGCGGCTGCCCCTCTGATTGCTCCCACACCTGGTGAGAGGGGAGGCATGTTGGGAGCAGAAGCATGAGGAATAGGGGGAAGTATAAGCCGTTGTAACGCCTGCATGACTTGAATGCGTAGCAGCGGCTGCCCTTCTGATTGCTCCCACACCTGGTGAGAGCGGAGGCATAGGGTACAGAGCAGCAAGGTTTGGTATGGGTAGGTGCAAAATAATCTGGAAAGGGAAGAGCAGTGGGTAGAAGATCGGGGACTGCGGGCCGAGTGACACGATGAGATGATAATCCCAAGGCTGACATGATCACGATGATCCCAAGGCTGACATGATCACGATGATCCCAAGGCTGACATGATCACGATGATCCCAAGGCTGACATGATCACGATAATCCCAAGGCTGACATGATCACGACAATCCCAAGGCTGACATGATCACGACAATCCCAAGGCTGACATGATCACGATGATCCCAAGGCTGACATGATCACGATAATCCCAAGGCTGACATGATCACGACAATCCCAAGGCTGACATGATCACGATGATCCCAAGGCTGACATGATCACGACTATCCCAAGGCTGACATGATCACGACAATCCCAAGGCTGACATGATCACGACAATCCCAAGGCTGACATGATCACGATGATCCCAAGGCTGACATGATCACGATAATCCCAAGGCTGACATGATCACGACAATCCCAAGGCTGACATGATCACAACAATCCCAAGGCTGACATGATCACGATAATCCCAAGGCTGACATGATCACGACAATCCCAAGGCTGACATGATCACGACAATCACAAGGCATCCCACACGTGTTACATCACACTCACCTGAGGCAAGCACGAGAGGATCTTGTCGGCCAGAGGAACGATCTTCTCCCCCATGCGCTCTATGATGAGCGAGACCACGTTCACTATCTGCAGCTGCGAATCAAACTCCGACACCTGTGAGTGATGCAAAGGGAGAGGCAAAGGGAGAGTGATGCAAGGAGAGAGTATAGGGGAAGTCGCCTCAAAAAACAGGTTAGTGGACGATCATCCAGGCTGTTTTTTAGATCTTTTAAAAGAAGCAGGCCAGAGGAACAATCTTTTCCCCCATGCGCTCTATGATGAGCGAAACCACGTTCACTATCTGCAGCTGCGAATCAAACTCCGATACCTGTTGGAAGGGGAGGGAGAGAGATGCAAGGAGAGAGTGACGCAAGGAGAGATTAGAAAGGGAGGCACATAAATAGAGAGAGAGAGATTAGAGAGAGTGACGGAAGGAGTGATCTTGTCGGCCAGAGGAACGATATTCATCTCCCCCATGCGCTCTATGATGAGCGACACCACGTTCACTATCTGCAGCTTTTGAGTCAACTCAAAAGTCGCTCTATGATGAGCGACACCACATTCACTATCTGCAGCTTTTGAGTCGACTCAAAAGTCGCTCTATGATGAGCGACACCACGTTCACTATCTGCAGCTTTTGATTCGACTCAAAAGTCGCTCTATGATGAGCGACACCACGTTCACTATCTGCAGCTTTTGAGTCGACTCAAAAGTCGCTCTATGATGAGCGACACCACGTTCACTATCTGCAGCTTTTGAGTCGACTCAAAAGTCGCTCTATGATGAGCGACACCACGTTCACTATCTGCAGCTTTTGAGTCGACTCAAAAGTCGCTCTATGATGAGCGACACCACATTCACTATCTGCAGCTTTTGAGTCGACTCAAAAGTCGCTCTATGATGAGCGACACCACGTTCACTATCCGCAGCTGCGAATCAAACTCGGATACCTGTCAGTGATGCAAGGGGAGATAGAAAGAGAGAAGGGAGGTGGTTTGTGGTGCATATTGAGAGTAAGGATGCCGATACGTGGTGCGTGGTTTGTGATACGATGAGGTATCTGAGAGTACACGTATCGGAGAGTACACGTATCGGAGAGTACACGTATCGGAGAGTACACGTATCGGAGAGTACACGTATCGGATAGTACACGTATCGGAGAGTACACGTATCGGAGAGTACACGTATCGGAGAGTACACGTGTGCTGCGTGCGTGCATCACAATAGCTGGCAATGTAGGGTGGTTTTGAGAATTCTCAAAAAAACCCTACGATGAGGCATCTGAGAGAGTACACGTGGGCTGCGTGCATCACAATAGCTGGCATGAGGCGCCCTGCATGAGTCTATATCGATCTACTATTGCCAGTTTTTGGGTGGATGTCAGGCATCATGTGCATCACCTGCTGCAGGCAGTGGAAGAGCGGTTGATGCTGCTGGTGTATACAGCGCTCACAAGCCACGATATATACAATACAATGCATGATGCTGGAGGCACCATGTGCATGCATCTTGTGCATCATGTGTGTGTGTGTGTCATGCGCATCACCTGCTGCAGGCATCGGAAGAGCAGCTGCACTGCCGTGTCGAGAAAAGGAGCGAATTGGTCCTCATAGAAATGCACGTCGTCAATGAGCGTGCGGAGAGAGGACACTGCTGTGAGCTGGGGAATGGTGGGCAGAGTGGGGGATGGGGGTGGAAGAGAGGGAGACGCATTGAGGAAGGGAGCGAATTAATCCTCGTAGAAATGCACGTCGTCAATGAGCGTGCGGAGAGAGGACACTGCTGTGAGCTGGGGAATGGTGGGCAGAGTGGGGGATGGGGGTGGAAGAGAGGGAGACGCATTGAGGAAGGGAGCGAATTAATCCTCGTAGAAATGCACGTCGTCAATGAGCGTGCGGAGAGAGGACACTGCTGTGAGCTGGGGAATGGTGGGCAGAGTGGGGGATGGGGGTGGAAGAGAGGGAGACGCATTGAGGAAGGGAGCGAATTAATCCTCGTAGAAATGCACGTCGTCAATGAGCGTGCGGAGAGAGGACACTGCTGTGAGCTGATGGATGGGCAGAGTGGGGGAGGTGTCGAGGGAAGGGGGAAGGAAAGAGGAAGCGTTGGGGAAGAGGGCGAATTGGTCCTCATAGAAATGCACATCGTCTATGAGCGTGCGGAGAGAGGACACTGCTGTGAGCTGAGGACGGCGGGGATGTGCGGGAAGAGCAGTGGGGGGAGCGGAAAATAAGGAAACAATGTGTGAAGAAGGGAACTGGTCCTCGTAAAAATGCATGTCGACTAAGAGGCACGCGCAAGGCCGAGACAGCAATGAGGTGAATTTACTGCATTAAACTGCACTGCACCGCACTGCGCCGCATCTCACCTGCACCACCAGGTCTTCATCTGGCAGCAGGGAGATGAGCGCCTGGTAGGCTGGCACACAGAGGTCGCCCTCCACGCTTCCCACCTACCAGCAGATGCTACAGCCTGCACCGCACTAGATCGCACTGCACCGCGCTGAACTCACCTGGACCACCAGATCGCCGTCTGGCAGCAGGAAGATGAGCGCCTGGTAGGCTGGCACATAGGTCGCCCTCCACCTTGCCCACCCACTGCCCCACCATCCACGCTGCCCTCCCACCAGCAGATGCTACAGCCTGCACCATACTGCACCGCACTAAACCGCCACTGCACTGCACTGCACCGCACTGCACCGCACTGGACCGCGCTGCACCGCACTGAACCCACCTGGACCACCAGGTCTTCATCTGGCAGCAGGGAGATGAGCGCCTGGTAGGCTGGCACACACAGGTCGCCCTCCACCTTGCCCACCCACTGCCCCACCATCCACGCTGCTAGCCCACACCCTGTGCAGCCAGCACCGCACTGAACCGCACTAAATCGCACTGGGTTGCACTGAACCGTGCTGCACCGCACTGAACTCACCTGGACCACGAGGTCTTCATCTGGCAGCAGGGAAATGAGCGCCTGGTAGGCTGGCACACAGAGATCTCCCTCCACCTTGCCCACCCACTGCCCCACCATCCATGCTGCCCGCCTGCGCAGGATCCGCGCGTTGGGGTGGCGGCATGCCATGTCTGGGAGGAGTGCTGTGGTGAACCTGCGAGGGTACGAGGGGTGAGAGAAAGAAATGGAGTTCGGCTCCTTGTGTACGCATGTCCTTGTGCTGCTCGCACGGGATCATCCTTGAGCAGCAGGACCGGGGCGACAGGCACGCATATCTGCAGTGGGGGTTCCGACTTTATTCACACACACAGCACCATCACAGCACCTCCACAGCACAGCACCATCACTCTCTCACCATGTCTTGAAGTCTACAACGTAGATCATAGCACGCCACCCCCACAGCATCGTAGCATGCACACTTGAGCAGCAGAGCCGGGGAGACAGGCACACACGTCACGTCTGGGTTCAGTGAACCACCATACAGAGCCATCACTCACTCACCATGTTCTAAAGTCCACCAAATCGTGTAGATCGTAGCACGCCACCCCCACAGCATCGTAGCAAGCGTCTTTGAGCAGCAGAGCCGGGGTGACAGGCCCGTCGGTGTCAGCTGTCAACCGCACAGCACCCATCACCACCCACCGCACAACACAAAATTCACTCACCATGTTTTGAAGTCCACAACGTCGTGTAGATCATAGCACGCCACCCCCACGGCATCATTGCACGCGTCCTTGAGTAGCAGAGCCGGGGTGACAGGCCCGTCGACATATAGGTAGAACCACTCCCACAGCACCCACCATCAGCGCACTCACCATGTCTTGAAGTCCACAACATCGTGCAGATCATAACACGCCACCCCCACGGCATCATAGCATGCGTCCTTGAGTAGCAGAGCCGGGGTGACAGGCACGTCGGCATCAGGGGAAGCAGGCGGGGGGCATGCCTCTATGCACTGCCGTAGCATGTTCATGAGGGCTGGGGAGAGCACCTGATGGGAGGGAGGACGAAGGGTGAAGAGGAAGTCTTTAGCAGCAGGCAGATTTGATGAGGCGCGTTAATTACTGTGGACTATGGGGGGCGCAAGGAGAAAATTATTGAGACGTATAAAATATCACAATATGTGAAATAGGGAGAATGCAAGAAAATTTCGGCAGCAGCAGCAGCGCTGCCATACCTCTTTGAATTGCTCAAACAACAGCAGCAGCAGCGCCTCTGCACAGAGCCGCAGCTTTTCCTTCCACTCCACGGCGCCCTGCTCGTGATAGAACACCTACCTGCATCTCATGTCATCATTCCATACCTCCTTGAATTGCTCAAACAACAACAACAGCAGCGCCTCAGCACACGGTCGCAGCTTGTCCTTCCACTGCACGGCGCCCTGCTCGTGATAGAACACCTCTGGGTCCAAACCCCACTCTTCTAAATCCCCTGCTGTCAGCACCAGATAGCTGTCAGCGAGACAGGGGAGGGAAACAGATGATGAGAGGGAGAGATGGAGAGGGTACGAGGAGGGTCGCAGCTTGTCCTTCCACTGCACTGCGCCCTGCTCGTGATAGAACACCTCTGGGTCCGCCCCCGACTCCTCTAAGTCCCCTGCTGTCAACACCAGGTAGCTGTGTGGGTATGGAGGAGGGAGACAGGCAGGAGAGAAAGAGGAGACGGGTCAAGGGGGGTCGCAGCTTGTCCTTTCACTGCACGGTGCCCTGCTCGTCATAGAACACCTCTGGATCCGCCCCCCACTCCTCTAAATCCGCTGATGTCAGCACCAGGTAGCTGTGTGGGTATGGAGGAGGGAGACAGGCAGGAGAGAAAGAGGAGACGGGTCAAGGGGGGTCGCAGCTTGTCCTTCCACTGCACGGCGCCCTGCTCGTCATAGAACACCTCTGGGTCCGCCCCCCACTCCTCTAAATCCGCTGCTGTCAGCACCAAGTAGCTGCGAGAAGAGACAGAGGAGGGAATCGGGCAGGGCGAGAAAGAGGGAGAGGTGGAAAAGAGAGGACTGGCACAGCTGCAGCTTGTCCTTCCACTGCACGGCGCCCTGCTCGTGATAAAACACCTCTGGATCCGCCCCCCACTCCTCTAAGTCCCCTGCTGTCAGCACCAGGTAGCTGTGAGTGAGACAGAGGAGGGAAACAGGCAGGAGTGAAAGAAGAGAGAGGGCAAGGAAGGTCGCAGCTTATCCTATCACTGCACGGCGCCCTCCTCGTGATAGAACACCTCTGATTCCGACCAACACTCTTCCAAATCTGCTGCTGTCAGAACCAAGTGGCTGCCAGGAGGGGAGCGGAACGGGTGCGGAGAGAAAGAGGGAAGACGAGGTGTGGAGCATGAGCATCCTGAGCATGTTTTCGCACATCGCATCTGAGACTCACCGTTGCACGAGCACGCGTCTCAGTGTTAGCGTAACCACTTCCTCCCGCGAGAAGAACGCCTGCAGCTGCTGCCGCGCCATGCCTGACAGCTTCCCCACCAGGCTGATCAAATCGCACATGCAAAACTACTGAGAGGTGCTAGACTCACCGTTGCACGAGCTCTCCCCCCAGAGTAACCACTTTCTCCTGCGAGAAGAACCCCTGCAGCTGCTGCCGGGCCATGCCTGACAGCTTCCCCCTCATCTCCTCAGCAGATGCCACTGCCGCCCCCACCACATGCCCCGTGGGGTTCTGCTTGTATGCCACACATCGCAGCACACTCTGCAGAAACAGCATACACTCTATCAGAAACAGGCCGTGGCTGGAAGCTGAAGAGGAGGCGGACGCATCAGTAGCCGCAGCAGCGGCGGCGGCGGCGGTTGCGGGGGTTTGTGGACTGGTAGCAGCAGCAAGAGGGGTGGAGAGGGATGGGGAGGGGGAGGAGGCGGTGGGGTTGGTGGTGGTGATCTGTGTGTAGCAGAAGTCGAGGGTGGGCAGGAGGACGTTTTTGGAGGCGAATGAGAAGGGGTGCAGCTCGTGGGAGGCGACGAGCGTTTTGAGTAGCTTGACTGAGGCGCGGGAGAGGAAGGTGTGCAGGGGTTGCAGGGCTGGGCGCTGCTGGGAGAGATTGCCTGGGTGGGAACAGGGAATTGAGAATGGAGCATAGGGACAGGGGTGTGGGGAAGGGAAGGGGACGGTTTGTTCTACTATGAGGTATCGCACAGCAAGGGGTGCAGCTCGTGGGAGGCCACGAGCGTCTTGAGGAGCTTGAATGCGGCGCGGGAGAGGAAGGTGTGCAGGGGGTGCAGGGCTGGGCGCTGCTGTGAGATATTACCTGTGTGTGAGCAGGGAATGGAGCAGAGAGGCAGGAGAGTGGGGTGGGGAAGAGGAGGGATGGAAAATCATAGGTTGGTCTTTCAATTCCCAAAACTCTACTGTACTTTGCTGTTCTAACTCACGAATGAGGACTCACAGAGAGAGAGCGTCGACTCACAGAGAGAGAGCGTCGACTCACAGAGAGAGAGCGTCGACTCACAGAGAGAGAGCGTCGACTCACAGAGAGAGAGCGTCGACTCACAGAGAGAGAGCGTCCATTCACAGAGAGAGCGTCCATTCACAGAGAGAGCGTCCATTCAAAGAGAGAGAGCGTCCATTCAAAGAGAGAGAGCGTCCATTCACAGAGAGAGCGTCGATTCACAGAGAGAGAGCGTTTGTGTACCTTTTCCAAGACAAAAACTTGCGAACAATGCCAAGTGGTTTGTTGTGTGGCGGGGAGAAATGTGGCTTACGGAAGTTGAGAAGCGATTGCGCTGCTTCAAGAAATGCGGGCACCACTTGTTCCAGTACCGGAACCTCCTGTAAAGGGGAAGGATGAAAATAAGAGGTGCACAGGGAAAGAGGAAAGGTAACTGCGCTTTCTTGAAGGAAAAGTTGCTATCAGTCAGCGCAATGTGTGACAATAAAGGGCTGCAGAGCATTGCTTGTTTCAATACTCTTCAAGGTCAGCATTCTCCATTCTTCTCAACACTTGAAAGTAATGAAACATATATTGAGATGCCATTCCATATTCGTTGAAATTGCTCCCACGGTAGGAAGCAAGGAGGATAAATGAGAGACGGTGATAGGTTGCCGGTGATGGTGACAGACAGAAGGTGCTGAAACACACAAGAAGGCCCCCCACACCACGCACGCAGCGACTTACTTGCCTGAACGGATTTGAAATCAGAAGGGAAGCCAAACACGAGCATGCGACGAAGAGTCTTCACACACAGCAGCCACCGCTCACACAGCAGCATCAGCGCCCCTCCTGCTGCCCCTGCCCCTGCTGCTGCTGCTGCTGGGTCTGACCCTCCAGCCTCAAGGGCGGTTAGGCCCTGCAGCAGTGACCCTGTGTCTCTCACCCAGTGCGCCCAGGTGGGCTCAAACAGCTGGCTGGTCACCTGAGAAAAGGACAAAAAAATGTGGGGGAGGGGAGAGGCGGGAAATTTTTGAGAAAGGTGATCCTCGGTATTTTCTATCCTTGGTCTTACAGCTTTTCACCTTCACCAACGGAGAGATGTAGTGTGTTTTGACGCTAGCTCTTACCTGAGTGAACGTGCACTGATCCACCACACCACACCACACTTATGCGCTTAGTTGAAAGTTCATTAAGGCATGTGGTTAAGTACCTACCTAGCTTGGCTCTTACCTGAGAAAAGGTGCGTTGGTCCACACTCAGGCGCTTGGTTGAGAGTTCTTTAAGTACGTGATTAAGAACCATATAGGCACGCTGTGTGAGCAGAGGGTCCTGACTCTGCAGCTTCTGCAGGAGCGTGGGGAATAGCTCGGACCTGCCCTCGCATGCATGTGGCATGATGTGGGATCGCATGGCAGCACGTGGGAACATATGGGATCAGACGGCACATGATTAAGCACAAAAAGATAGGTGCGCTGTGTGAGCAGAGGGTCCTCAGTATGAAGCTTCAGCAGGAGTGTGGGAAATAGCTCTGACCTGACCTTGCATGCACGGCATGACATGATGTGGCAGCACAGCACATGGCATAATATGGCATTGCATGGCATCATATCATATGGAATCACATATGACATCACATTGCATCATGTGGCAACACAAGGCATCAATAGGCATCGTGTGGGATCGTATGGCATCACATTGCATGGCCATCGGTGTGACTGCATGGAAACCGTGGTGAGTCGTGATATGACAACCACTTATGAGAAATTCCAATGACAAAATTGCGATGGAGTAGTGCATTTTATTGCCATGCCAGCCAATCCCTCATACATACACCAACTCATCATTCACGCCCATCCCTCACCACTCGCGCCCATGCCTGACTCACCAGTCCGTGGGGTAATCAATGCTGGCAATCTTAACAACCAGCACGGCGAGCCGCATGGCCACTTGGCTGTCCTCATCTGCCACTGTATCCAACAGCCAAGTGGCCATGCGGCACTTGGATCCAACAGCCTTGCTGGATGTGCGTAGGCCAAGGCCAAAACGCCCCACTTCACACCATTCACGCCCGTCCCTCCCTCACCATTCCCTGGGGTAGTCGATGCGGGCGATCTTAGCAATCAGCACGGCCAGCTGCACGGCCACCTGGCTGTTCTCGTCTGCTACTAGCTCCAACAGCCGCGCTCTCAGCACTGGCTTCTCCTCGTCTGATATGCCCCTGTGCGGGTGAGGCAATGCGGGTGGGAGAGCCGAGACAAAGGGTAAAAGTTTACTTGACTCTGCACCTCTCCTCTGTGACTCTCACGGCCACTTGACATGGCTGTTCTCATCTGCTACTAGCTCCAGCAACCGCGCTCTCAGCACCGGCTTCTCCTCGTCTGATATGCCCCTGTGCGGGTGAGAGAGGGTGAGGGAGGTTGTGAGGAAGGGTGAGGTGAGGAAGAGTTTGAGGTAGGGTGAGGGAGGTTGTGAGGGAGGGTGCGTGGGAGCGTGCGAGAGAGGGTGTGAGGGAGGGGGGTGAGTGGGGGAAATGGAAAGGCCACAGGATGGTAGGAGGAAACAGGAACATTATGTGCTTACACGGGAGTGTGGCTCACTGCATCTCTCGCCTCGCCCGCCAGTATCTGTTAATGCTAATCTTAAAATAAATGGCTGCCAGCCACCTGTATTGCAATTGGTCAATGACCAGATGTGTTTATAGGCGATCGAGTGTGACTCACTGTGTCTCTCGTCTCGCCCGCCAGTATCTGTTAATGCTGTTTTTGAAATAGATGGCCGCCAGCCACCTAGCTCCACCCTTCTGATCTAGCTCCTTGCGCGATATGATCTCCTGCCGGCATTTAGGGAGAGGCGGAGGGGAAAAGAGGGGTTCAGTGAAGGTCAAATGAACCGTCTCATGAATGAAACCGTCGCATGACAAGACAACAAAGCTCTCATCTCAGGACAACGCTCAAGCTCTCATGATAATGCTTCAAGCTCTGATGATAATGCTTCAAGCTCTGATGATTATGCTTCAAGCTCTCATGATAACGCTTCAAAATTAAGAAGGCAAGAGAGAGGGGGCCTCCATCTGTCGTACCAGGAGACATGAGCAGAAACCCACGCGGGTCTCGAACGCGTTAAGAGCCTGTTCCGCCTCTTTCCTTGTAGCCTCGTTAAGAGCTGCTTCTAACAGGTTGTAGATGGGTCCAGCATCTGCTGCGGTCAGCGCCATATCCGCAGCTCCAGCCCGTGATTAAAGAGGTGATCGGAAGAACCTTAAGCTGCTGAGCTGCAGCGTCCGCCGAACGATCAGACACTACAGCGGGAAACGAAAATGGCAATTGCGCAGATGAGCACTCAGGAAATGCCTGCAGATGGTTGGAGTCGGTTCGGTGTGTGACTGAAACGAGCGCTCGTTAGGCACCCTCGGGGCTATGCTGGGCACACCATGGATTTCGGCGGAAGGAACCGGAATTCGACCAGATTACAATGTGACGGCGATCTAGGAATCCTAGGCAAATCCGATCAGGATGCGCGGAGGTAACACTTTTGACTATCGACAGACCATGACACGCTGAAGGGACAACACGTGAAGGCTTAAAATGCCATCACACGCAAACTACAAGAGCCTTATCGGTAGAAGAAAGAGAGGAGATAGTGAAGGAAATGAGGTAAGAGGGGGCGAAGGGTGAGAATTGGGATGGTGTGAGCTTCTAGAATGAAGGCTGTGAGAATGTAGTGGAAACTCCAAGCATGGCTGATGAGATGGGTATAATGATACTCCAAATTCCAAAGGGCTCATATTCACTCCACAAACGTTTACGCTTGATTGTTCGTGGTTCTACAGCATCGACGCTCGTATATTATTTTTAGGCAGTCTATATGGGAGACACAAGCCTTGGTGGGCTTCCTGGCTCGGGTACGAGGCTAGCGCGAGCGGTTGACCAAGAATAGAAGATTCGAAAGGGTGGTTTGAGTTTGGCGGACTCAACAGATTAGGGGAATTTGTCACAAACGCTTGAACGGATTTACCCAAATCGGAGGTTGAGTTTTGGGATAAGAATACAACTTTTCGAATCAGCTTTGTCGCATATCCATATTTTGATACACCGCAAATTGTCTGGGAAACAAAGAGCGACCAGAAGAAAAAGCACTAGTGCTATATACTGCTGGTTCGGTAAAAAAAATATAGGAAGGTGACTGGCGGGCAGGGAAAACGGTGTGGAAGGAAGGCTTGTGGCGGCCTCAGGGGCGGCTTGGTTTGGATGGCCTGGGTGAGAAAACTTTGCCGAGCCGTACACTGGATGCTCTCTGCAGTCTCGTACCTACGTCTCCCCGCATCACACTTCGGTTCGGTGAGCTACGTACCCATGAACAGAACGTCCGGGCCTGGCCTGAACCTTGCTTGGTCCCTCCCTGAGGCGCGCGCCTGGTGTCAACCGAACTCGCAATTGCGGTTCGATGAGGCTTGATACGATCTAGAAAGTTTTGTAATGTTTCAGAATGGTTGAATAGGGTATTCGGCAAAAAACGTATTTTCGGGACGTGCCCTGACGACTAATTTGATAACCACCTACCAACCGATTATCGGCACCTAATTCAGACTGCAGATATGCGGAGTAGCCGCTGCTCAGCGCGTCCGTACCGCAGCAGGTTCACAGATGAGGTCGTCCGCTGATTCGACGTATTTATGCGAGCGAAAAAAACGCCTGTTGCGAGTTTCGGATAGTTGGCAAGGCGCGTTCTCAGTTGCGGGAAATGGAGGCACAGGTAAGTGAAAGCATGCTTTTTATGCGGAAGACTCCCACGCTAGACTCAGTGAGCTGATTAATCTGAGGGAGATGCTAGAGCCTCAGAGGTACACTGAGCCGTTGCCGGGAACACTGGGACCTGGGGAAGTTTTTTCAGTTCGAAATGCGGTTAGTGAGGAGTCTAAAAAATGCTCACGTCTCAAGTTCCCGGCAATGGCTCAGAAGGTACTCTTCCCTTCGGGGGGTCCCGTTCTGGCTCCCGTGCGCGTACTTCTTAGCTCCGCCGCTACTCCTGTCTTCTTGCGCCAGCTTTCTGCGGCGTTCTGAGACGTCTCGAAAGAGTTTTGAGACGTCTCAACATTTCAGACGCCTCAAAACTCTTTTTAGCTCCGCCGCTACTCCTTCCTTCTTGCGCCAGCTTTCCGCGGCGTTCCGCTTGAGGCGCTTTTTGTTCTCCTTTTGTTGAGCTCGCGCCACTCTGATGCCTTGTGATGCCTTGTGATGCCTTGTGAGCAGGACGGGCAGGAGGAAGGCAAATCGACGGGCAAGAAGCACAAAGATGGGAAGAAGAGCCATCGGGTCCGTCCACGTGTCCTCTCGCATTCTCCATTCAGTTCGTGTTCATTCCGCATTCCGCATTCCTTTTGCGCCCCAGTTTCATCTCCCTCGCACCCCGGTTACAACTCCTGTCCTGTTTCTCGCTCCAGTTACAACCATCTCTCCATCCACCCCCTCCCCCCATCCCCATTGCCTTCCACCCTTCCACCCCGCTTTTTCCCTCCCTTATCATTCCAACCTGACCTACCCCGCGCACTTGCTCCCTCCGCCTACCTTCCACAGAAAGAGGCATTGGAGGAGATGCGGGGGGATGTAGAGCGGTTGAAAGGTGAACTTCAACAAGCAGGGGAGCAGCTCGCAGTGGCAGAAAAGGCGAAAACCGATTTGCTGGTTAAGTATGAGTGCGTGGAGAGGGAAAAGGTTGCTCTGGAGGGGCGTTTGGAGGAGAGGGAGAAGGAAAGAGAGAGGGAGAGAGGGGAATTATTTGGGAGGTTGGAGGAGTGTGAGAGGAGGTTGAAGGAGGAAGAGGAGGGGAGGAAGGAGGAGAAGCAGAAAAGGAAAGAGGAGAAGGAGAAGCGGAAGGAGGAGGAGGGGAAACGGAAGGAGGAGAAGAAGAGGCGGAAAGAGGCGGAGGAGGAATTGGCACGTGTCAAGCAGCGATTGGAGGAAGCTGAGGCCAAATGTGAGAGGATCGAGGGGGTGAGTGCTGTGCTGAGAGGGCTTGCTGATGCAGCAGCAGAGGAGGGAAGCGGGTCAGTTGATAGAAGAAGAGTTGAAAGGGAGGATGGAAGCAGTGTAGCAGATGACAGGAGTGATGAGGCGGATGGAAGGGTAGCTGGGCGTGACGATGAAAGGGAGGCGAGTGCACGACTAAAAGACCTTGAACTGCACGCTGTGAGAGCAGAGGGAGAGGCGGAGGGCTTGAGGCGTGAGCTGGAAGCTGTGAATGCCACGCTGGCAGATACAAGTGCCAGGCTGGCAGACACGAGTGCTGAGCTGGCATGCTTGAAAGAGGCATTGAGGGAGACGGACGCACACGCACGCGTGGATAAGTGCGGAGAAGAGGGATTGAGGGAGAGTGGAAGTAGGGAGGAGGGGGGGAGCAGGGAGGAGGTGGAACAGAGGTTGAAAGAGGCAGAAGCACAGAGGGATGCTGCAGAGAAACAGAGGGAGGAGGCGGAAAGACAAAGGGAGGAGGCAGAGAGGCGAAAGGAGGAAGCAGAGCGGGAATGGAAGGAGGCGGAGAAGGGACGAGAGGACGCAGAGGAAAGAGTGAAGGGCCTTGAGGGTCGCCTGAAAGTTGCAGAGAGGTCAGCAGCAGGAGACACTCTGGGTTTGAATGCGAATGCCGCGCGTGACTCATTCGGTGATAACAATGCGGGAGGTAGAGGGAGTGAACAAAGGAAGGAGGAGCATGGGAACAGCAGGAAGGGGGTTGTGGGAGAGAGGGAGAGTGTGGAGGGAAACATGGATGCCGAAGTGGAGTGCTTCAAAGAGCCTCAGAAGGTGGAAGTGTCGCTTCCCAAGGCACAATTGTCACCTGGAAAGACATTTCCCGAGATGGACCGCGAGGCAGAGCTTGAGTTTCTGCGCAACCTGCGGGAAGATCTGGAGAGGGAGTTGGACTCTCTACGCATTCAACTCGATTGCAAGTCACAGGCCCCTGTTGCTGATTTGGATAAGGCTTGTCTCGAAGCTGGGGGAGACCAGAGTAGCAGCCAGCCTACCAACAGCACCTGTGGCTGCACGTGTTGCAGCAGCTGTAGCTGCGGCTGTAGCACCAGGAACGCCAGTACCAGCACCGCCACGAACACCACCAGGAGCATCGCAGAAGCAGAAGCAGAGATCGAGCGACTGCACGCCGTGAGAGGAGACCTAGAGAGGGAGCTTGAGGACTTGTACCTGGAGTTGCAACGGGAGCAGGAGCTCTCAGCTGAAGCAAGCCTTTTAGCTGAGAAGGAGTGGGAGCGGCGACAGGAGGCAGTGAAAATGCTGTCTCAGCTAGAGAGGCAGCTAGGGGAGGCGTTTGGAGGGGCTGTGGCGGAAGGGGGGGTGGTGGTTGATGCTAATGGAAGGCCGATGTCGCCGCTAGTGGGGAGTTTGAGTGGGTCGGGAGCGGTGGGGAGGAATGGCAGGGGAGGGGGCGTGGGAGGGGTGTTTGTGTCGCCGCTTGGCGGGCCGCGATTGGAGGGTTCTGGTGGGGAGGAAAGCTGGCCGTATTTGTGTGGTGGCGAGGTGGCGGAGGGAGCAGAGGGGGGAGCTGAGGAGGGGGAGATGGGAGGGATGAGAAGGGTGCTATTTGGAATAGAGGAGCGTGGGGAGGAGGAGGGTGCAGCAGCCGGAGAAGAAGAAGAACCAGGTTCTTCGCTTGCCACAGCAAGCACAGGCACACGCACCAGCAGAGCAGCAAGTGTAGTGGAGCGGCTGAGCTTAGAGAAGGAAGAGAATTACAGAAGGGAAGGGGAGGGAGTTGAGGGGAAGAATGAGGACGGTGACTGGGATGAGATCTGGAGTGAAGGAGACGATGAACAAGAGCTTGAGGTGAGGCGTGGGGAAGGGGAGAGGCGTGGGGAAGGCCAGAGGCAGGAAAGGGAAACGGAGGGGGCAGAGAAGAGGGAGGAAAGAAGGATAGGGCAGTCTTGCCGGATGGACTGGCCTAGGTCACTCACGGAGGAGAGTAGACTATTTAGTGAGGATCCAAGTCTCACTGATGCACACGACCCTGAGCCAAGTCACACCTGCAGTTCCCGGCCTCTGCTGCACATTCACCCTCCCCCTCGCACGTTCCCTAGAGCCACATCCGATTTAGTCACCTATGTGAGAGACGCTAAGGCTGCGCTGGGGCAACCCTCCTCCCCAGGGGAAGACGAGTTTTTCAGCACGAAACTGCCGGAATTGAGGAGGAGAATGACTGGTGAGGGCCCTCAAAAGGAGACGGCCCTGCGCCTGCCCTCTTCCCCTGGGGAAGGCGAGTTTTTCAGCACCAAATTGCCGGAATTGAGGAGGAGAATGACTGGTGAGGGCCCTCAAAACTCGCCTCGTAAGTCTGCCTCTTCTGCAGAAGACGAGTTTTGTAGCACTAAGTTGCCGGAATTGAGGAGGAGAATGACTGGTGAGGGTCCTTACAAGTCCTCTTCTCCTCGTGAGGACGAGTTTTTCAGTGCTAAGCTGCCGGAATTGCGGAGGAGAATGAGCAACTTCTCGCCTCTGCACTCACCCCTGGTTCATTTACGGGGGATGCAGTTGGATGGGGATGCTGAGGTGGTGACCGCAGCAGCACCTGGCGCTGGGGGTGCAGGCGGCGCAGATGGAGACGGTTCAGGTGTTTCTGTTGTTTCAGGTGCTTCATCAGGTGAAAACGGCACTCCTGGTGGTCGCGTAAAGTCTCGTCTGGCTAGTGTGGCTGAATGCAGTGGTGATAATAATGATAAGCATGAGGAGGAGGCGGAGGAGGAGGAGGTCAAGAGGGGAATGGAAGGGGAGGCGGAAAGGACGAGTGGGGAATTCGCCCATTGGGATGGGCAGGAGCAAGGGGGTGAAGGTGGAGGAGGAAGGAGCGTCGCAGCTGTTGCTATGGAAAACGGTTTAGGTGAAGTTGATGGGAAGGACTGGGAGAGCGGAAAAGAGGATGCGAGTGAGGGAAGAGAAGATGTTTCAGCAGCAGTAGTAGCATCAGCGGCAGCAGGAGCAGGAGCAGCAGTAGTGGCATCGGCAGCAGCAGGAGCAGCGACAGTTGTAGTTGCCTCACCGTGTGCACCTGTTAATGTGGCTCACATCACCCCACACACGGATTACAGCAGCCTAGAGACGACTCATACCACCAGCCCAGACACAGCTCCTGACTTCACCCATAACGCCTTCTCATTCTTGGCTCCTGCAAGCCCCCATCCCGGCAGTATAGGCTCTTCTCTCCACAAGGCCTTCCGCCGAGCCTCCACGTACTCAGGCCGAGCCTATCCTGATCCGAACCTGTCCTCTTCCTCTACCACCACCACCCTCCTCTCCTCCCACTCTGCTCGTGATATTTCCTTTTCTGAAGGGCCCTCCTCTCCCACACCCACCAGCAAAGAACCCCCCTCTCCCACCGCTAAAGGACCGCCGCCCCTCACCACCTCGTTTTCAGCGCTTGATGAGGCTTCCTCTCCCAACGCAGCTAGAGCAGTCTCCTATTCAGGGCAGCCCTTTTCCTATGCCAGTCAGATAACAACCGCTCCTAGGGAAGCCCCAGGTATGCCTTCAGGGGGTTTCAACAGAGCGGTTTCCTACACAGGGGGTTTCAACAGAGCGGACTCGCACTCAGGTGCTTTCAACAGAGCAGGGTCTTACTCAGGTGGTTTCAACAGAACTGGTTCAGATGTGGGGCTGCTGCTCACCTTCGGGGGACCATCAGGGGGGGAGTTTTCAGGAACAGAGACGACAACAGGTGGAGCGAATGACAGAGAAGACTTGGAAGAATCTGGGAGAGGAAAAGAAGAGGAGGAGGAGGAGTTAGTAGATGTAGGGTTGGCAGATGAAGACTACAATTGGGGTGACTCTATTTACAATAAGCAGCAGCTTTTAGCTAAGCACCAGGGTGATTTTCTCCACGTGTTGCTGCAGATGCTACAGCTGGCAGTGGCGAAGCGGGAAAGCGAGTTAGTGTCAGCCTCTGCCGCCGCTACAGCTGCCGCTACAGCCGTCTCGGCTGCCGAGAGGGAGAAAGCGGAGTGGGAAGTGGAGCAGGTGGTATCAGCAGTGTTTAGGGAGGTGCATAACGTGTTGCATGTGAATGGCGTTGGCAGGGTGAGGAGAAAATTCCGAGGGGTGGCTAAGGAAGGGAACGCAGCAGCAACGGCTGCTGCTGCAGTGAAAGAGGATCTCGAGCTTTTGGTCCGGGCAGTTGAAGCAAAGGCTCGGGCAGCCATGAGAAGAAATGCGGCTGGCCTGGTCCCTCCTGCTCCCAGAAGGCTTGTCAAGGATGGGAGTGGGGGTGAGGGGCGGAGAGGAGGAGAAAAAAGTGGCGGAGGAGGATGGGGGCTGAGCAGCGGCAACGGCATGTGGAGCATTGGTCAGAGTCTCCAGTCGGCTGCTTTGGCTATAGCTCGCTCTCCCTCTGTTGCTGGTCCCTCTGTTGCCAGTACTCCTAGCATGAGTAGATCAGTGTCTGCTGCCGAAGCTCCTTCTGTTGTCTACTCAGTCGGGGTACACAATGCCTCACTAAGTATCTACAGGTCAGCTTCGGTGGCTACTACTGAGGCCTCCACTGCTGGTAACACGCCGGTTGCGCACGCGGTTACCATCGCCCGAACCTCCTCCGTAGCCTCGGGAATGTCCACGGATGGTAACACGCCTGTGGCTCGGGCTGTAGGGGATATGTCAGGAGGAATGTCGATGTCTCAAGGGGGAGCGGTTCAGATGGGTGGTGTATCAGGAGGAATGGGTGGAGAGCGGTCGAGCGCTCTGACCATCTACAGGACACCGTCTATGGCTGAGATGTCGACTACTGGTAACACTCCTGTTGCGCATGCAGTTACCGCGTCATTTGTCAGTGGGTTCAATGTGTCTGGTCTCCTCGGGATGGCTTCAGCAAGGCTAGCTGCTGCAGCCACCTCTGCTGCTTCTGCTGCTGCTACTCCTGCTGCTACTCCTGGTGCTGCTGGTACTGCTGCTGCTTACTCTACAACTGGTAACACACCTGCTGCTTCCACTGCTGGTAACACTCCCATCGCCCAGGCCTTGGGGAGTCCAAATCAGTTTGCTAACAGTCAAGTGTCGCCGGTAACCACCCCTGTAACTGCGGATGCTTCGACTGGCGGTAACACGCCTGTCGCACATGCGGTTACCACTAGTGGCGGCGGTAACACTCCTGTTGCACGACCTTTGAGGCTGAGGGAAGGGGAGAAGGCGGAGCAGGACGGGAGGGCAGAGGAGGAGGAGGGGGCAGGTAGAGGGGAGGAGCAGGGGGAGGAGAGAGGGGAAGAGGAGGAGAGTGAGGAGGTTTTGTTTGTAAGGGAGGTGGTAGCGGGCGATGTGGTGGTACACCACCATGTAGACTCTCTCACTCGCTCCCTCACAACTGCTTCCCCTAAACCCAAACCCCTGGGGCAGACTTTTGAGGCGCCTCAAAGAACAGGAGGTGTTGTGGTACACCACCATGCGGACTCTCTCACTCGCTCCTTCACTCCTTCTAGCTACTCCAATGCCACTTTTGGGAACTCTCAACAGAACGCTAACGCCTTTGACCTGATGGCAGAGTCCCCTGCTGTGCTGGCGCCTGGAATCAGGCAAGAAGGAGGGGAGCAGCAGCCTTTCTTTCGTCCTATGTCCAGGCAGCAAGAGAGGGAACAGAGCAGGATACAAGACGATCCTTTGCTGGGCGAGCAAAGGAGACGTGATGTCTGGGGGAGCCGTGAGGCATCTACCAGGCTGGATAGAGGCAGAAACCAAAGCCTTGAGGAGGATTATTCCCAGCCAGCTTCAAGACTGGACACTCACCTGTTGCCTGCTCGCCCCATAGGGAGTCATGACTCTGCTGCCCGGCTGGATAGAGGGAGAAATCGAAGCGTTGAGGAAGACTATTCCCAGCCAGCTTCAAGACTGGACGCTCACCCGTTGCCTGCCCGCCCTATGACTGCTCAGCCGAGAGATCGGTTCCAGCACACAGCAGCAAGGGATGGGAGTGGCAGGTTGGCTTTTGAGCTGGGTAGAAGAGCGATTGGGGGCGGGGCTAGTGGTGGAAGTGGGAGTCGACACCAGCCAGCAGCCACCAGGCTGGATGCAGGGAGGAGCCAAAGCCCAGACGAATACCACCAGCCGGCAGCCACCAGGCTAGATGCTGCTCACCCCTGGAGAAGTCACGATCCAGCAGCTGCGAGGCTGGATGCAGGGAGGGGACAGAGGAGCCAAAGGAGCCAAAGCCCAGACGAATACCAGCAGCCAGCAGATACCAGGTCAGATCTTCAAGCTCACCCATGGGGGGGTCACCATGATCCACCAGCTGCGAGGCTGGATACAGGGAGGGGCCAAAGTCCAGACGAATACCACCAGCGAGCAGCCACCAGGCTGGATGCTCACCCGTGGGGGAGTCACGATCCAGCAGCTGCGAGGCTGGATACAGGGAGGGGCCAGAGGGGCCAAAGCTTGGGCGAATACCAGCCACAGCCGCTTGCGTGGGGGGGTCGTGAGGGAGATGGGTTTACCAGTCTGGATAGGAAAACCCCTGTCCAGCTGGATAGAGGGAGGAGGAATCAAAGCCTGGAGGACGAGTATTCCCAGCCAGGTACGAGGCTGGATGGTCTAGATGGCCACCCCTTGCCTGCTCGCCCCGTGACCGCTCTGCCTAAATCCAGGTCGACTTTTGAGCCAGCTCGAAGAGCAATTGCGACTGACGCGATTCTTGAGACGTCTCAAGAGCTGATTAGAAGAGCGATCGCTTTTGAGGCGCCTCAAGAGGCGGCTAGAAGAGCGACTGCGTCTGAGGTGCCTCCTGAGCGGACTCATAGAGCGATCGCTTCGCCTCAAAGCATGCCTGCTCGCCCCATGACCGCTCTGCCTAAGTCCAGGTCAACTTTTGAGCCGGCTAGAAGAGCGGTTGGGGGCGGGGATAGCAGTGGGAGTGGGAGGGTGAGTGCTCTGCTGTACAGACCTGGGGGTCAGAGAGGGGGAGTGTGGGGTGCGGGGGGACGCGGAGGAGGAAGGGGAGGAGAGAGTGGAGGAGGGAGGGCTGGTAGGCAGGAGGAGCGGAGCACAGGCACAGGAAGAGAACGGATACAAGGAAGGGGTGACCAGGGTGATTCAGCTCTTTTACCTCTAGACTCTGGTGTACCGGACCGAACCGCTCGGGGTGGGACCGAGGCTAGTGGTTTGGCAAGTAACCGGCAGGTTTGGAAAGGGAGTGCTCGGGACGGCGCGTCTAGTTCTCAGGAGCCGCACAAGGGGAGTGGTAGAGACGGTGTGATGGAGTCGTTGCTATCCGAAGCTGCTGCAGCAGCACAGGGCACTGTTCGAGACATTGTGTCTTTCTGGGCTACAAGTGCTGCAGCAGGGGCTGTAGCAGCGGCAACAGGTGGCGCAGCAGGTCGTGAGTCTGTAGCAGCAGGAGCGGGTACTGTAGCACTGCCACGTAGGCCCGCTACAGCTGCAGCGGGCGGCAGGGTTCGTTCTGTAGGGGGCTGGCAGGGCTGGGGGATGGGAGAGAAAGGAGAGGGGTTGGGTGGAGTGGGGATGGGTGATAGAGAGGAAAGCATAGAGCAACCGTGGGGCAGCAGCAGGGTGCAGGATCAAGAGGCAGGAAGGCAGATGGGAAGCGAGAATCCGTGGGAGGGGTCCTATCGGGATAGACGAGTTTTGGGTGATAAACGAGGAGGAGCGGATGAGAAGGGAGGTGGGGCAGATGTTTGGATTCTTGAGGAAGGGGAGGTGGAAGGAGAGGAGGGTAAGGAGGAGGTCGAGGACAGTGGTGAAGGGAATGTGCGTGTGAAGCATGAGAGGAGACCGCAGCAGCAGCAGCAACACCAGCAGCAGCAGGAAAACTCTTCATCCGCTGCTGCTCCGGGTCTCTTTGCAAGTTTCCTGCCCAAGTCAGCGTCGGTCAGTCACGTTCGGCGGGCCAGCATCCAGATATTTGATTCGCTCACGCACCTTACCTTTGGCTCTTCTTCCGCTGCTGTGCCTGCTGCTACAGCCACCGCTACAGCCGGTGCCACCCCTGCTGCTACAACCACTCCTACAGCTGCTGTTACAGCCGCTGCTACAACTGCTGCTGCTACCGCTGCTACACCAGCTGCTTTACCTGCGGTTGCAGAAGCAACCGCGACAGGTGCCGCCGTTGCTGCTGTTGATGACTCTGCTGCTGCTGCTGCTGCTGCTGCTGCTAGTGCTCCAGGCACAGCAGGTGACAGAGCGGGTCCGTCACACTCCCCATTGCTTGGTCCGTCTGGGGTTGTAGCAGCTGTGGCAAGGGCTGCTGCTACCACCCTTGCAGCTGCTACAGGTGTTGGCGCTGGGTCTCATGCTGGTGCACCCGGTGTCACCAGTCCTGTTTTGCCAGGTGCTTTTCCAGGTAGATCTCCGCTGGTTTCCCCAAAAGCCAGACCTCATCGTGGGATGGTGACTGTGGGGAGTTTTGTTGAGACGGAAACAGGTGCTTCGGAATGGTTGGTTGAAAAGGTGGAGACGTTGACAGGGGCGGGGCAGAGGAGAGGAGAGGAAGAGAGGAGGGTGGTATTGGAGTGGACTCAGGAGTTGGAAGAGGAAGGGGAAGAGGCAGAGAGAGCGTTGAGAGAGAGAAAGAGGGAGAGGAGGGAAAGGGAGGCGAAGGAGAGGGAGAAAGAGGAGGAGAGGAGGAGGAGGGTGGAGGAGGTGAGAAGGAAGATGGAAGCTGCTAGTGAGGAGAGGAGGAGGAGGGAGGAGCGGGAGCAAGGAGGGGTTGTTGCAGGGGAGGAGGGGAGTGAGGAGCAAGAAAAGAGAAACGGATTGGGTGTTGCGGCTGGAGAAGGGAAGGATAGGAAAAGAGGAGTTGAGGAGAAGAAGGGAGGAATGGAGGAGAAAAGAGGAGTTGAGGAGAAGAAGGGAGGAATGGAGGAGAAAGGAGGAGTGGAGAAGCTAGGTTCAGTGGGACCTAGGAATGGAGAAGGAAAGGATAGGAAAGGAGGATTTGAGGAGAAAGGAGGAGTTGAGGAGAAAGGAGGAGTTGAGGAGAAAGGAGGAGTTGAGGAGAAAGGAGGAGTTGAGGAGAAAGGAGGAGTTGAGGAGAAAGGAGGAGTTGAGGAGAAAGGAGGAGTTGAGGAGAAAGGAGGAGTTGAGGAGAAAGGAGGAGTTGAGAAAGGAGGAGTTGAGAAGCTAGGGAGGTCATCAGCAGTTGTGATGAAGGAAGAGTGTGAGTCAGGTTTAGAGGGACGAGGTGTGCAAAATGTGTTGGTAAAGCGAGGTTCGATGAAAGGGGAAGCAAGGGAAAGTGAGAGCTCTAGTGAGGGAGAGGAAGGGTGGAGTGATATGGAGGAGGAGAGAGAGGAAGAGGAAGAGAAGGAGGAGGAGGAGGAGGAGGAGGAGGAGGAGGAGGAGGAGGAGGAGGAGGAGGAGGAGGAGGAGGAGGAGGAGGAGGAGGAGGAGGAGGAGGAGGATGATGAATCGTCGTGGAGTGCTGATGACGATAGTGGTGATGTTAGTAACGAGGATGCTGATGCTGCTGGGTCTACAATGGAGGAGGCTGGGAGGAACGAGAATGAGGAGGAAGGGTGGAGAGAGGAGGAAGGTAGGAAAGAGGAGGAAGGGAGGAAAGAGGAGGATGGGATGAGAGAGGAGAAAGGGAGGAATAAGGAGAGAGGGAGGAATGAGGAGGAAGGGAGTAAAGAGGAGGAATGGAGGAAAGAGGAGGAAGGGAGTAAAGAGGAAGAATGGAGGAAAGAGGAGGAAGGGAGTAAAGAGGAGGAATGGAGGAAAGAGGAGGAAGTTGAGAAAGTAGTGGCGGAGAGAGAGGATGTTGCTGCTGGTGATGGTGATGGTGATGGTGATGGTGATGATGATGCTGAGGAATTGTGGAGTGATGTTGATGTTGATAGCGGTGATGCTGGTGACGAGGATGGGAGGGAACCAGGCAATGGCGATGCTGATGCTGATGGTTGCGATGACGATGGTGATGAGGACTTGTGGAGTGATGTTGATGATGCTAACGATGATGCAAGTGATGAGCGTGGGAGAAAACCAGGCAATGAGGGGAAGGAGGACGGGTGGAGCAAGAAGAGGGATCAGACGGAGGAGCAGAAGGAAGGGTCTTCATTAGAGGCGCCTCAGGAAAGAGAGGAGTGGATAGAGAACACGGAGGGTGGGTCGGGTATGTTTTTTGAGAATTCTCAAAATTCATTTGAGGCGCCTCAGGAGAGCGAGGAGTGCACGGAGGGTGGGTCGAGAGGGCAAAATGGGGAGGCAGTTTCCGAGGTGTATCGGAAGAACGAGGAGGAACGAAGTGAGAAGGAGAATGGGGCTGAAATCTCTCCACCAGGAATTCTTCAGACACCTGGCAGCATGATAGCTTCTCCTTTCCTGGTAGATATGATTTGTGAGGCGCCTCAAGAGCCGGGCAGCATGATTGGTCCTCCTCTCTTGGTCAAGGAGGAGCGATCTGAGGCTGAGAGCATCATGGTTGAGGGGAAAGGGCAGGAGGAGGAGATCTTTGATGCTCTCAGATTGTCTCAAATGGCGCCTCAAGGGCCCTTGGTGGATGACCAATCTGAGAGTAGTGTTGATGAAGGGGAAGGGAAGGAGGAAGCGACTTCTGAGAGGACTTCTGAGGCGCCTCAAATGGCGCCTCAAGGGGTGCCTCGAAAGCCCTCGGTAGAGGATCAACTTGGGAGCAGGGCGGATGAAGGGGAAGGGCAGGAGGAGGTGATGGGAACGGAGGGGAGGGAGGAGGACGAGTGGAGTGGGGTTGATGAGGAGGATGGAGAGGAGGAGAATCTGTCGGAAGAACACGATGAGCCTGTCTCTGAGGTGCCGCAACGGAACGAGGAGGGAATGACTGAGAAGGAGGGGAGGGAAGAGGACGAGTGGAGTGGGGTTGATAAGGAGGATGCAGAGGAAGAGTATCAGCTGAAGGAGCAAAAGGGAGAGTCTGTTTATGAGGTGCCTCGACTGATCGAGGAAGGACGGAGTGAGAAGGAGGTTGGGAGGGACGAGCAAAACGAAGAGGGGCCTCAAAAGGTGGAGGAGGGAGGGAGTGAGAAGAAGGATGGGAGGGAAGAGGACGAGTGGAGTGGGATTGATGAGGAGGATGCAGAGGAGGAGAATCAACCGGAAGAGAAAAACGAAGAGCCTGTCTCGGAGGTGCCGCAGAGGAACGATGAGGAACAGAGTCAGCAGGAGGATAAGATGGAGGAGGATGAGTGGAGTGGGATAGACGAGGGTGAAGCAGAGGAGGGTGGTGGGCTGGAAGAGCAAAAGGACGAGCCTGTCTCTGAGGTGCCTCAAGCGATCGGGGAAGGACGGAGTGAGAAGGAGGTTGGGAGGGACGAGCAAAATGATGAGGTGGAGGAGGGACAGAGTGAGAAGAAGGATGGGAGGGAAGAGGACGAGTGGAGTGGGATTGATGAGGAGGATGAAGGGGCGGATGGTTTTGATTCTTGTGATAGCTTGGGGAGTGAAGCGGAGGAAAGTGGGAGTGGGGAAGGCGGTGGTGGAGAGAGTGGGGTCAGTGATGTAGATAGTGGAAGTGGGAGTGGGAGTGGGGATGAGAGTGGGAGTGGGAGTGGGAGTGCGAGTGGGAGTGAGAGTGGGAGTGAGAGTTCGATAGAGAACGAGAGTGAGAATGAGAGCGATGGGGAAGAGAGCACACTAGACATGAGCAGTGTTGGTACCATTGGACTGGAGGGAGAGAGTGACGAAGAAGAGACTGATGCGCAAGGGAGGGAGGAGCGAGGGAGTGAGGAGCAAGCGAGTGAGGTGGGGGAGAGTGAGGGAGGGAAGGGTACAGAGCAACGGGAGAAATATGAGAGGGATGGGGAATGCAGCAAGCAGGATGATGCGAGCAATGAAAAGACCCAGGATTATCTCAACGCTCTCGGAAACAGCACGGTCCAAGAAGCCATGGCGAACCAAGGCACGGCCAACAGGGGAGATCATGGTGATGTTAGCTCGCACAGTTCAGCTGTGCCAAAGCAACCCGATCTGCCTGCAGCTGACATGGCAGATCGGGTTGCTGTGGCTGAAGCGATCGCTGATGCAGGTGCTGTGGAGGGCGCTGATGTGGAAGTTGCTGATGCAGAAGGTGCTGACGTGGAAGGTGCTGATGTGGAAGGCGCTGATGCGGAAGGTGATGACGTGGAAGGCACTGATGCAGAAGGTGCTGACGTGGAAGGCGCTGATGCAGAAGGTGCTGACGTGGAAGGCAATAATGTGGAAGGCACACCGGCTGGATTGTTAAACTCAGTCACCTGTTCGGCTGATGTTCCCAAGCCAGAATTGGGCATTTGAGCCAACTGGAAAGAGGTGAATAAAAGGATGTAACAGAGATAGGAGCGACATAGATGAAGTAGGTGATACAGGTGGACTATTGGGGGGTAGTCCATGTGGCACCTGTGTGTATTCATGTGGCCTAGCTTTATTCTTCTTTATGTAGTTGGCTAGCTTTCTAGGCAATTAGAGTTCTCTAACGAACTTTCACAGCTCATTTCGGGGTTTTGCGGTGAAAGGCTGGTTCGGCGCTTTCCTAGTACGGTGATGCAGTTCGGCCAAGGTTAGGGCCATAGCTAGAGGGCCTTCAGCCCAATCACCAGCTTTTGGTGGCTTGTTCTGTTCCGAAACCTGTCAGGGTCAGGCTGGCCAGGCAGTCACCCTTGGGCTTCCCGCCTGCCTGGCCAGGCAGGCGCGTATCGCAGGTTTGTCAGTAAACCGAACCAGCCACCAGACCAGAGCTCCAAACTCCAGCCAAGCCTTGCTTCTCTTGGCCCAAATCTAGACTTAGGACCATTCTCCCTCCCGAGCCGGCTCTCCTAAATTTTGCCTGATTACATACGTGTACCTGGTAATAGCTGGATAGATTCTAGTGCGGGAATGTTTAGGACGAGTTTTCCTGACTTGAATTGCTGAGTGCGTTTCATAGTAGGTTTGTCTTGACTCGTGTGCGAGAGTGAAGTTCAGTAAGCAGTGCTGACGAGCAGGTTCGTGATGCGTACGGCGGATTGCGTACGAGCAGGGTTGACGTGATGGGGATATCTCTTTATCCCGCTAGACAGATCGCGTAGACTAATGCAAGATCAGGTTCGCGTGATGGCGAGTGCCGTTCCTACGAGGAAACAAAACGTGACGGTCAGTCCTAGCATGAGCAAGAATCAATCTTGGATGTTTTATGCACGAGGCGGCTACAGAAGCTTTGCTTGTAATGTGAGGTCTATTGTCTCACGCATGTGCTCGAAGAACGGGTCGTGGCGAAGAACGTTGACATGGTTACTTCTAGTTACATTCGTTAGCATCGTTCTCATGATTCGTGAAGCTTGGATGACCGGCACAGAAGACAGCACAACGGTTTCGTTTTTCTCTCTACGGGTTTTGCCCGGGAGAATAGGACATGGAGTGAATCAGGAGGATTGGAGTGTGAGCAACACCATTCCTCATCCAGATGTCGTTGTCTGGGCGAAGGTTCGTCCGAATCTTTCAAGATTCTTGTTGGAAATGCGACCAAGATTCTTCCAAGGATGTTGTGGATGACAATTCGATGAAATATCATCTCTACTGAATCTGTCGGAGGTTATACCCAGATCCCGCCTAAAGATCAGATATTTCGTTGCAAGCTGTCGCGCTCATACTGCTTGCAATTATAAGCTAACTACTCTTCAGTCTTCTTCCCAATTTCAGGGTCTGCTTCACGAGCGGCTGGAGGCGGTGTGTGCGGGCTACGCTCTGCACCAGCTCTTATCGTCCAAACTCTCCCCCTCCGAACCAAGTAACTCCGCACAAGAATCACAAGAATCGCATCAACCACAGCAACCACAGCAGGCGCCGTTACGGCTGGCCGTGCTGTGGCTGCCAGACGCAGGCATGCCGCACGCCACGCTGAACCACGTGCTCGGGCCTCTGCCTCGCCCCAGCGCGCTCTCCTCTCCGCAAGGCTCCCAGCCACAAAACGACGGGCAGCAGCAGCAGCAGCAGGGATCCGCAGCAGCAGACGGGTCATCCTCCGGTGCAGCTGACCCGTCTGATGAGACTCTGGTGCTGCTGCATCACCCCAGTTGGCTCAACTCGCCGCTCTACACCTATGGGGTATGTGTTTCTGTAGAGGGGCGTTGGCATGCGCAAGCTTGTGTGTTCAATGTTTTTGTCTCCTTTCTTGCAGTGATATACTGTGTGGGTGGTTTTGTTGCTTGTGTATGTTCACCACGTGTTATCCACTTGCTCGTTTGCTGTCTGGCCCTGCATATTCCAACAGACCCTCAACTCGAAAATCCCCCAGCCAATCTCCCAGGAGCAGATGCAGCAGCAGCAAGAGCAACAGAATGTCTCTTCCTCTTCCTCATCCTCATCCTCATCGTCGTCTTCCTCCTCCCACCCTTCTCGCCGCCTGCACGTCAATTTCTTCCTCTCAGCCTCCCTCCCTCCCATGGCCTCCGCCCTTGCTGACGTGAACGGCTCCTCCCAGCTCCGCACTTCCCTCCAGCGCTGCTACAGCCTGCTACAGCCGTCCGCAGCCGTGCAGGAGCTGATAGCCAAGGAGAACATGACACGTGTCCAGCAGAGCACAGCTGTGTACGTAGAGCCAATCTCCCTCTCCCTCCCCTCCTCCTACCCTTGCTCTAGCTGCGACCCTAAATTCGCGGTCAACTGCACCACGCGCCGCCTCATGTGGTTTTTTCTCGGGCAGCCCGAAGGCGACGCTACAGTTGTGGGCTTCTGGCCGTCTCAGGCTGTAGCCGTGGCAGAAACTTTCCACGAGAACCGCCAGCCGCATTTGCTAGAATCCACGCGACGCCGTGCGCAGCAATGCGAAGGCGGTAACCGCAAAGCCAGTGGTAACCGCTTGAAGGACGGTAACCGCATTGGGGGTGGATATGTAGCGCCGCCTATTATCCCCCCCGGGATGACTGTGAGGCAGCAGACGGCTAAGTGGATGTGGTGGCTTGGATTGGCAGATGGTAGAGATTACTACACCATGGGTACAGGGGGGTTGGGAGGAGGAGCGCGAGGAGGAGTGGGAGGAGAAGTGGGACTGGAAATGGGGAAAGGAGGGGCGAATGGGACTGGCGAGTCGGCTGGTGGAACAAGGCGGCTGCTTTTGTCTGGTAGTGTAGAGGGCGGTAGTGGCAGCAGTTGGACAAGACGTAGGCTAGAAGTCCAAGCATACCCAGAGCGAAAACCAGGAGCATTAGCATCCCTACCATCACTATCACCTGCTGCAGCAGCAGTATCAGCCGCAGCAGCGGCAGTGTCAGACGAAGGAGCAGCAGTATCGGACAAAGCAGCAGTACCAACCACAGCAGAAGCAGTATCGACCAGAGTGGACGCAGCACCAACCACAGGCGAAGTAGCATCAACCACAGCAGAAGCAGCATCAACCACAGCAGAAGCAGCATCAACCACAGCAGAAGCAGCCTCAGATGAAGCAGCAGCATGGGTAGAATGCGCGCAGCTGGAAGCAGCGGAGCTATTCGCCCTCTCATCCGCGCAGGGGCTCATTCACCTGCAGCACTCCCCCCAGGCGGACCTCATCCGCGCGCGCGCGCAGGCCTCCGCCAGGGGCAGCTCCCCCCGCATGCGCGATGTGCTAGTGGCGCCAGAGAGCTTCCCCCGGGGGGAAACGCCACCAGGGATAGGGGGGGATAGGGGGAGTGGCGGGAAGGTGGGAGGCGAGGGGAGGGAGTTTGAGGAGGAGAGGGGGTTGTGCGATGCGCCGAAGATACTGCCTGTGACAGAGCACCGCATTGGAAGGCAACTCATTGTGGATGGTACGTGGCTGGCCCTGCCAAACTTGATTGTGGATAGAAGTTTGTTGCCCTGTCAAACCTCCCTTCCTCGCTGTTGGCTGTGTGATGCGCCGAGGATACTGCCTGTGACAGAGCACCGCATTTGCAGGCAACTCATCGTGGATGGTACGTTGCCCTGCCAAACCTCCCTTCCTCCTTTTTTCTCTACGTGCAAAAGGCAGGGTGCATGAGTTGTTAGGTCCACTATGGGTCCAGTCCGGCTGAGGGAGCACTCTTCAGGTGACCTAACCTGCTGCCCCACCACCCCTCCTTGCTCCCATTCCCGTGTTTTCCTCCCCCCACCAGAGGACGTGGGCATGGTATACTGTTACGTGCAGAAGGCGGGGTGCACGAGCTGGAAGTTCTGGCTGCGGGGTCTCCAGTGCACCTGACCTGCTGTGCTGCCTCTGCTTCCCTTTCTTAACCCCCCCTCTTCCCACAGAGGATGTGGGCATGGTGTACTGCTACGTGCAGAAGGCGGGGTGCACGAGCTGGAAGTTCTGGCTGCGGGAGCAGCACCACCACCCCTTCCCCAAGTCCTTCCTCTCCGCCCACACCGCCCACTTCACCAACGTCACTGCCGTCTGGTACTCCCTCACCGAGCCACAAGCCATACGCTCCCTCACACGACGAGACTTCACCCGCTTTGTGTTCCTCCGGAACCCGTACACCCGCGTTCTGTCGGCGTATCTAGACAAGATGCTTCGCGGGGGCGGCCCGGATGATCTCGGGGCAGGATTCTGGGCGCAGGCGTTTTTCGGGCAGCTGATCACGCACTCCTTATGGGATGCTGCCACGTTTCGGTCGGGCCCCGGAACTGCCCGGCTGCGGAGCATCTGGGAGGTGATTCAGCTGCGGACGGGGTTTCGAATCACGTTCGATGAGTTTGTGGGTTATCTTGGAGAGGCGTGGGAGATAGAAAACCGGTTTCACCTAGATGTGCACATAGTGCCGCAGACGCTGCTATGTGCATTGGACCGGATCAAGTATGACTTTGTGGGGAGGTTTGAGAGCATGGATGAGGATGTGATGACGCTGATGAGGCGGTTTGGGAGGGAGCCTGGCGATGCGTTCAGCTTCGGGAAGAAGCTTCAGAAGACCAAGTCGCGGGGGCGCTTGAGCGATGCGTTCGGCAATAAGGTATGCTGTTGGTTTAGAAACCCAGGGGCCACGTGACAGGTATGCTCTTGGTTGCAAGGCAGAGGCAGACTGTGTGTGTTTTTAGCCGATTTTTTACTGTCTTGTTGCTTGCCGTTATGTCAAGGTCTCACCCGTTCTGCCCCCATCCCTCCCCCTCCCTCCTCCCCGCTTGTCACCCACTTCAGAAAACCTTTGACACGGTCAGTCATGTCTACAGTCTCGACTTGAACAACACCCTGAATGGCATCGTATACGAACCACCAGATGAGCTGAAGGAGTTGTACGGGAGTGGGACATAAGATTGCGCCTTTGATAAAAGTGTATCTATGGCATCGTTATTAAATTTTGACGGAGCTACCTCAAAGAGAATGCTTCTCTGCTGGATCCTCGGGATCTCCAACAGCCAAATGCACTTTTTGTTTTCCTAAATGCCAACTGAGCTTATTCCGGGAACTCTTATTGCGCCTCCACTTACCATTTTCCTAGGTCCTTCTGATCTGTCCTCGAGAAGTCCGCCCTGCACTGAGGTCTGGCGCGTTTCGCGCCGCGATAGCAAACGCGGATGAGGAAGCCTCGGGATTTGAAAACGAGGTCGTGGGAGAGAATAAGGCCGCCTGCAACAATGATGGTCACCACAATGATGGTCCGACCACTTACAGATTTTCCATCCCATTGCTTTACGCTTTGCAGCAAGAGCTTTTAATGGAGCTCACCGAATCGGCATTGCACTGCAGATAGCATTACGCATACAGACCATACTTTTGTCCCGTGCAAGCCATACTGGAATTCAAAGTTCCAGCTCACCTAGTGTCCAACGCGGTTCCCTAATCGAGTCGGCAGCTAAGAAGATTTTTCCTCACTTCGAGTTTCAATAGAGGCCCGTACCTTGCGATTAGTAGCGTGCGATCCAGCTGACGCCATGAGCCATCGCTCGAGCGTCCTCCTGTCGACACCTCCGAGGCTTCCATCTAGCTATCAGGCACGGGAATGCCGCAGCTCTCGATTAGATGCGTGCATGCCGGTAGGTCGATGCGAGTTACAGCGAGAGTTACAGTTGAGCAGTCGAGGCCACACCGACCACAGCTACCACACCTACCACACCAACCGCACCCGTCAGATCCGGCTGGCACTGTCATCCTTCGGTCAGACTTGACGTCAGCCGTCCAATTAGCCGGTTGTCAGGAAGCCTTCTCCCTGACCGTACGGGCTGTAATCGGTCGAGGTTTTCTTATTGGACGAAGTTTCCTCGTGCGGGAAGCGGCAATGGACGGAGATCCCAATCTCGACTGGAAGTTTCCCGTTTACGAGCTTCTCAATTCCAAGTTTCCCGTTACGAGTTTCTCGAGTACAACAAGGCGCGGGGGCTCATGTGCGTGCGCCTGCATGCAGCCACGTTTCGCGCTCTCCGCTCACTTCACGCACCTGGCCTCCGGATATTCTCCGTGCAGTGAGGTGTGTTTTGAGGCGCCTCAAAACACGCTTCACGCACCTGGCCTCCGGATATTCTCCCGAAAGAGTGCATAGAAGGGCGGCTTGGCTGCATCGCCCTTGCATCGCTGGTTTTTTACTCTCCGGAAGGACACGAGAAGGTTCCTGACGCGCGTCGGGATGTATCGAGCGCCTGGGTCGGTCTCGATGCTTCTCAATCGCGGTGACGCTTCTCAATCGTGACCGTGGATCTGCTTTGGTTGGAGACCGTCGACGCGGTCCGGCCGAGTTCGAATCAATCAATGGATCAATATGCACCATTGCCTCCCTCCTGCCTATTGCCTCTTGCGTTTTGCATATTGCCTCTTGTCTCGGTTGGACTCTTTCTATCAACCTCGAGCTGCTTCTGCTGCATCTCCGCTGCCTCGTACCGTCATTCATCTATGTTCGAGAGCCAATCCGAGGTGAAAGGATCCAGACAGGATTCCTTCCTCGTTCAAACATTCATCGGTTCCGCAAGGTTCCCTTCTCCGTTCAAGCATTCAGTTTCCCAAGATCCCTCGAGTTCCCTCGAGCTAGCGCCCGTGCGTCCCTCTCGGGCAACTGCCCGCGTCTGTGCTGCACGTGATGCGCCAACTGACTGTGCGCATTTTTTCCAGCCTTTTAGGTGCCAGTCTCGGGCCTCGGAACTCACATTTCCTCGCTGCGTTCAGTTCAATCTGGTGCTAAATCCCTCAGTCCCGCTTGCCAGCCCCAGCTATCCTCGTTCTGTCACAGCCGTCCCTCGTGCAACGTATCTCGGGCATCCGTCCCTCCCTCGTTGCCTAATCTGGGAGTGTCCTAAGTTTTCCGCTTCCCAGAAACGCTCGCGGAGTGAGTGATAGTGGTATTCACTCCATCTCCTCGGAGAAAGCGCATCTGGCGGCTGGTGATAGCAGGGTAACTGTTCCAGCGTTTGATGGAGGCAGGGGAGGTCGGGAAGGGTAAGGGCCATAGTGTTGCTGCTGGTGGTGATGGTGGTAATGGTGGTGGTTACATGCTTGGAAGTGGGCATGCGCTTAGCTCTACCCTCCCTGGGATGGCGGATGATTTGCCAGCTCACGGGATGGATCACAGCCACCACAATGGACACAGTCACAACCACCACAGTCCACACAACCACAACCACCACCACCAGAGAGTTGAGAGTATCTTTGAGGAAAACAACTCTATCGTGGGAGACACTACTACTACTACCAACGCTAACGGCCATGCTGGGAACATTAACGGCTGTGCTGGCAACACTAACGTCCATGCTGGCAACATCAACGGCTGTGCTGACGACACTACTAACTGTCATGCTGGCACTAACGGCCATTCTGGCAACACCAACGGCCATGCTGACAACACTAACGGTCATGCTGACTCTGCTGTGCTGGAAGGAGCCTATGGAGGAGCGACTGTAAATGGATTGCAGACGGGCGCTATCCGCCTGCTCATTCCACCTGCAGTGGCCCTGCTGCCTGGCTGTCTTGAGCCGAATCAGGGTGGTTCTGTTGCGGGCCAAGGGTTGGTGACGCGGCAAGGCTTGATGGTGGGTGGAGAGATTGACGGGAATATGCATGGGCGAGAGAGCAGCTGCAGCTGTGACGAGCCTGCGGAGCTGCAGCAGGTGGAAGGCGGAGCAGCAGCAGCAGCAGCAAAGAAGAATGGTGGTGGTGGATATGGCATGGACAGAGCCGACATGGTGGGTGGAGGAGGCGGAGGGAGTGGAGGCGGGGGAGGAGAGACAGGAAGAGATGGTGCGACTTCACTTGGTGGTGGTGGGGAGGCAGACGATCAGAGGGTGTTGGCTCAGCCGCCACTCCATATTCTGCAGTCCGTGCGACCCGAACCCCTCAACGGCTACATCGAGCAGGGTGAGTGTGTGTGAGAGGAACGGCTTTTCACCTTGTAACATGCTACGAGTTCACGTGGTGGTGGGGAGGCAGACGATCAGAGGGTGCTGGCCCAGATCAGGGTGAGTGTGTAGTAGAGGAATCCATTCGTACCTTGCAGCATGCTGCGGATGGGCAGCTCTCTCACACCCTCTTACACCCAGTTTGAGGCGTTTTCGTCTGAATTGTCTTTAAGCATGCTGCTTTGGATTGTTGACAGCACTCTCATGCCCTCTCGAATCTCCATCCTTATGTAACACAGGCCAAGAGGGGTCGGCTGGCGGTATGGCGCCTGTGATCCACGGCATGCTGCTGGCGCATCCAACGGCTGAGACGCCTCAGGAGCTGGAGTGGGACGATCTGATTGGTCGGATCGAGGCGGAGATTGAGAAGCCCCAGGCGAGCTCGTGTGTGGATGGCGAGTCATCTTCAATCGCGAGGCAGGACAGCCAGATGTAAGTAGAAGGGGGTCCAGAAGGGAGAGGGGGGGGCTCGGGAGGAGATGAATCGTGAGTCGACTCAAAAGCCAAGCGAGCTTGTGTGTGCATGGCGAATCATCTTCGATTGCGAGGCAGGACAGCCAGATGTAAAAAAAGGGGCCTTGAGACGAGGAGGGGGTTATGACTAGGGGGTTCGACTCGCAGTAGGCTTTGTGCAAGCCACTAGAGATATAATTTCTGCCAGTTTTTCGCCTGTGGATCCTTTAATCTGACACCGTTTTCTCCCCTCACTTTCCTTCCCTTCCTTGCCTCCTGCTCTCCCCCAACGGCCTTCAGAGTGACCAGTAGCGAGGGAGCCGTCCCTCCCAATGATGCTGGCGCTCTCAAACGCGGTAAGCACCAATCCTCGCATGAATAATGCTTGTACGGTCTCAGACGCACCAGCTGCTGCAACCGTCGCCTGAGTTGACAAAAAAATCATGCTGGGGCTCTCAAAAGCGGCGAGCACCAATCATGATCATGGATAATGCGTGCCGTGTCTCAGAAGCAGCAGTTGCTGCAACCGGGTCCGTCAGCAGCGCTTGGTGCTTGCTCGTTACTTTACCTCTCTGTCCTCGTGCTTGCTTTGCTTCGCCCATTTGTTCAAATTTATGCAGAGGCAGGCAAGGGCGCGGCGAAGCGGGTGGTGCAGAGGAAGCGACAAGCCAACAGGAGTCACCCTGTGACAAGATTCTAGGCATCTCAAGCCAACTCAGCCTCCCTTCTGGCTTCTCTGTGCTTCTGTCTCTCGCCGCGGCCTCCTCCGTGCCAAGCAATGCAGAGGCAGGCAAGGGCAAGGCGAGGCGGGTGGTGCAGAGGAAGCGGCCGGCCAACAGCACGTCCAAGTTCCGAGGGGTGACGCATCACTGCCGCACGGGGCGATGGGAGGCGCACATCTGGTGAGTGAAGCTCTTCTCTGAGGTGTATGTGGGTGCCTACAGCATGTGCATGTGGGGCAACAGAGGAAGCGGCCGGCCAACAGCACGTCCAAGTTCCGAGGGGTGACACACTACTGCCGCACCGGGCGGTGGGAGGCTCACGTCTGGTGAGTGAAGCTGTGCTGGAGGGATAGCAGGCAGTGTGAGGGGTAGTAGTAGCCATAGCTGTGTGTGTTTGGGACAGCAGTGATGCAGAGACAAGAGCACGTTCAGAGGGGTGCCTCACCACTGCCGCACCGGGCGCTGGGAGGCCCACATCTGGTGAGAATTGCTGTGAGGGAATAGCAAGCAGTGAGGGGTACTAGGAGCCGTGCATGGGGATGCTTGCAGCATGTGTATCAGAGACAGCAGTAGTGAAGAGCCAACAGCATGTCCAAGTTCAGAGGGGTGACACACCACTGCCGCACTGGGCGCTGGGAGGCGCACATCTGGTGAGTGCAGTTCTTCTCACCTCATCTGGTGTAGAGGTATGAGGAGCAGCAGTACTGCAGAGGGAGCGGCCGGCCAACAGCACGTCCAAGTTCAGAGGGGTGACACACCACTGCCGCACTGGGCGCTGGGAGGCTCCTCACATCTGGTGAGTGAGCTGCGCTGTGAGAGATAGCTGGCAGTTTCATTAGTAGTATGAGATGCGGTGTATGTGGGGCGGTAGTGGTGCAGAGCCATACCAACAGCACGTCCAAGTTCAGAGGGGTGACGCACCACTGCCGCACAGGGCGGTGGGAGGCTCATATATGGGGCAGGTTGCTCATTTGTCAGGTTGCTATGGCATTGGCATGTGCGCCTATGCTTTACGGAAGATTAACTAGGTAGTGGTAAGAGCTGCAGATAGAATGGCTATGGTGGGGTGCTCTCTTCTTCCAGCTGCTTTCTTCCATGTGTTCCTCTGTTGTGTGCCTTCTCCACGTGCCCACTTCTGTGTCCCGTTTTGTGTTGCTTCACGTGCCTCTCCGTGTGTCTCGTTCTGTGTATCTTGGTCATGTGGGAATGGATGGGCGCAGGGAGGAGGGGCGGCAGGTGTATCTGGGAGGATTTGATTCTGAAAAACAGGCAGCGCTGATGTATGACATAGCAGCACTCAAGATGAGGTGAGGAGTGACGCATGTACGATATCAATCACACGTGTGTGCGTGTTTCTGTGTGTGTGTAACATGAGATTCGGTTCTGAGAAGCAGGCAGCACTGATGTATGACATAGCTGCACTCAAGATGAGGTGAGGACACAGACACTCCAGATACAATCATGTGGAGGCAATGATGCGGTGTGATGGTGACACATGCTGCTGAGCTGATGTTTTCCATACATGTGAATTCGTCAAGCTGGCACATGCTGGCAAAGGCTGCAATCACTCTTGCTTACTCATGCCGCACTGGTGTCATGTGCGCAGGGGCGAGGACGCACAGACGAACCTACCGCCTGAGGAGTATACCAAATACACCAAGGAGATAGGTGAGCCGTCTTTCTGGGTCGTCGTTTGACCTGTCTCATTAGGAGATGACTTCTGAGTCTACTCAAAAGCATGCCAGCTGAACCTACCGCCGGAGAAGTATACCAAGTACACCAAGGAAATAGGTGAGGCTTCATTTTGAATCGTTGTTTGAGTTGCCTCAAACTGAGATTACTTTTAAGTCGAATCATGAGGATGCACATACAAACTTCCCGCCTGAGGAGTATACCAAGTACACCAAGGAAATAGGTGAGCCTTCTTCCCGGGTCACCGTTTGAGTTGTTTCAAGTTTCTGAGTCGACTCAGAAAGACGCACAGACGAACCGACCGCCTGAGGAGTATACCAAGGAGATAGGTGAGCTGTCTTTTTGGATCGTCATTTGACCTGTCTCAAAAGGAGATGAATTTTGAGTCGACTCTAAAAGATACACAGAAAAACATACCGCCTGTCATGTCGTTCCCAGAGGTTATTTTCCTGTTCGTCCACCTCCCTGTCCCTCATTTCGTGCCATGCCACACCAGAGGCGGTGGAACAGACAGTTGAAAGAAATAAAAACTGTGGTCCTTTGTGTGCTTTGCGTGCTTACAGGGATTGACTCATCTTCCTCTTCGTCCATCCTTCCCCTATCCCATCACCCCTCTTACCGAACCCCACCAGAGGCCGTTCCCAAAGAGGAGCTGATTCTGCTGCTGCGGCGGCACAGCAAGGGCTTTGCTCGAGGGACGTCCAAGTACCGAGGGGTGACCAAACACCAGAAGGTAAAGTGAGGGTGTAGGGTTGTGCTGAAGGTAGGCGAGGTGGAATAATTCTTCAGTCGACTAAAAAAAATGGGGCAGAAAAAAAGGCGAGGTCGAGGATAGGCCATGTGCAGGGCAAGTTTGACTACCTGGGTTTATTTGATCACCTAGTTTTCCGCTTGTCTCTCCCAACCCGTCTCTCCCCCATTTGCAGGGTCGGTGGGAGGCGAGGATTGGCCACGTGGAGGGCAAGCGATATGACTACCTGGGGCTGTTTGGTCACCCCTTTTCCCCGTTTCTCTCCCATCCCGTCTCCCTCGTTCCCAGGGTCGGTGGGAGGCGAGGATAGGGCATGTGGAGGGCAAGCGATACGACTACCTGGGGCTTTTTGACACACAAGAGCAGGCCGCTATGGCGTATGACAGGGCTGCTGTGAGGTGAGTGGTTCTCAGTCACTGTGGCTTATGTTGTAAAAGAACCCTACCTGAGGGGAGGGCAAGCGGTATGACTACCTGGGGTTGTTTGACACGCAGGAGCAGGCTGCCGTGGCGTACGACAGGGCTGCTGGGAGGTGAGAAACCCTTGTGCCAATCAACCACGTACTCTTGGACTCGGTCTCAGCCATAGAGGTTTGCTGGAGGTTTGAGGGAGGGCAAGCGATATGACTACCTGGGGTTGTTTGACACGCAGGAGCAAGCTGCTATGGCGTATGACAGGGCTGCTGTGAGGTGAGCGTTTTCCAATCACTGCCAACCATGTACGAGTCTATGAAGTCGCTATGAAGTGGCTTTTGGGAATCCAACTATTATGCCCTCCTCACTCCGTCTCTGCGCTCCCATTGAGGTGTGTTTTGAGGCGCCTCAAAACACACCTCAATGCAAGCGGCTTTTGGGAATCCGACCATTATGTCCTCCTCACTCCGTCTCTGCGCTCCCATTGAGGTGCCTCAAAACACATCTCAATGCAAGCGGCTTTTGGGAATCCGATCCGACTATTATGTCCTCCTCACTCCGTCCCTACGCCCCCCCCTCTTTCTCCCTCCGTGTCGCTGCGATGGCTGGTTTACAGGCAGAGGGGCCAGCAGGCAGTTACCAACTTTGATCTGGCCATGGTAAGTGTGTCTTCCGCATGTGCCTTAGGCTTGTGTTCGAGCATGTGCGTTGGGCTCGCGTCTTGAGAATGGACTTCTTAACAAGCCCGCTACTCATTTATTCCCTTGTTGCACAGTGCGGGGATGACATTCGCGAGTTCAACCTCATGGCACAGCAGCACATGCTTCTGAGCCGCCTTGTTAAAAACCTGAGCTCTCCTCCATTTCTCCTTGTGTTTTTTTCTCCCTGGTTGCACAGTATGCAGATGACATTCGCGAGTTCAACCTCATGGCGCAGCGCCTGCAGCAGCAGAGGGCGATGCAAGCTCACTCCACCGTTCTGCACCACACTACCAGCGCTTTTGAGCCGAGGGTTTTCGACGCACCGCAACACACTACGAGCGCCTTTGAGCCGAGGATCTTCGACGCGCCGCAACACGCAAGCAGTGGCATTGAGCCGAGGAGCAGCGGGGTGGAGCAGCACAGGAGGGTGCATTCCGAGCCTAGCATTCGCTCTGGCTTGCTGTTTGTTCCGCAGCAGGAGGAGGCACAGTGGCAGACGCGACAGCAGACGCTGCAGCAGCAGCAGCAGCAGCAGCAGCAGCAGCAGCAGGGGCTGTTGCTGATGCAGCACCAGCAGTTTCAGCTGCAGCAGCAGGAGCAACAGATAAAGCAGCAGCATCAGGAGCAGCAGCAGCAGTACCAACAGCACCAACAGCAGCAGCGGGAGCAGCAGCAGCAGCAGGCTGGGCTGCTGCAGAGGCGACAGAGCATTCAGTCTGAGCATTTACAGCAGCAGCTGCAGCGGGAGCAGCAGCAGCAGCAACAGCAGGCTGAGCTGCTGCTGATGCTCCCACCAGAGACGCACAACGGCTGGCACAACAGCAGGCAGCAGAACAATCAGCTGACAGAACAGGCGCAGGAGAGGGAGCAGAGAGAGTGGATGGATGGGCGCAAGAAGCCAAGACAGACCAACCATTCAGCTCCAGCTGCTTTCCCTCGCACCAGCAGTGGCAGAGTCCTGCCAGCCTTGCAGCCCCAGCCTTCCGCCATGGATATTGATGCTGAAAAGGTATCTTCTCAAAACACAAGCCCTGGCACCACCACAACCACTAATGGTCTCATTTCTCCCTGCAGCAACACTACAGCTACAGCTGCTACAGTTGCTGCTGCTGCTGCTGCTGCTGCTACATCACTCCGCTCTTCTGCTCCCCACCTTCCCCCTTTGGGTGTCTCTGCTTCCCTAGATGACTCCTTTCTCAGGCAGTATCCCCAGATTCCGCAGTTCCACCACCTCCCCTGGTCAGGTGTCTTGTCAGGTGACTGGTCAGGTGATTTCAACAGAGCAAGCAGTGCTCTCGTATCTGGTAGCACCGCGCCTTTGCTGTCCCACCGGTCTCTTTTGTCAGGTAGTGTCCTTCTGTCTCCCAGTAACCTTACTGCTGCCACCAACACGCCAGTACCTGCCGCTTCCAATGCTTTTCACGGCATCAGCAGCAGTGGAAGCGGAAGTTTCCTGGCAGCTGCTGATGTCAGCTGCTCGTCCTGGTTGGCTGGCGTTGCTCCTCCTCTGCAGCTGCCAGCCAATCCGTACCTGCCACGTCACCTGAGCATGCAGCCACAGGTGGGCTTGCAGCGACACCTCAACTTGCAGCGGCAGCTGAGCTTACAGCAGCAACAGCAGCATCAGTGGCAGCAGCAGCAGCAGAACACGCATCAAACTATGCTGTTCACTGGAACAGGAGGGGATGGGATGTTGTCAGGTGGAATGGGAATGGACAGAAAGGGGAGTGAAGGAATGGCTGGAGTTGACCTCTCAGGGTTCACAGGCCGTGGTGGCTTCGCTTCTGCTGGACTTTCAACGTTCACACCACCTGTTTCCAGCCTCACAGCACCTGCAGGGCTGATAGCACCTGGTGGTATGGCAGGAGAAGTTGGAGGGATGGCAGTAGGTGCTCTGCGTGGGCTGTCATGTCCCTCACAGGTTCTTGTGGCATCAGCAGCAGTAGCACCAGCAGTACCAGCAGCAGCAGCAGGAGCAGCTGTAGCAGCAGCAGCACCAGCAGCAACGGCAGCTGCTATGACTGCACCAGCTTCCACAGCTGTTGTTTCTGCTCCCACCGATCCCATTTCTGCCCCTCATCCTTTTTCTCCTGCTCCTGCTACTCCTGTTCCCCCTGCTGTTCTTTCTGCTCCTGCCACTCCTGCTGCTCCTACCGCTCCTGCTTCATCCCCCCCTCAGTCTGCGTCCCCTGATGCACCTGCTGCTGTGGCGTTGGCACATGGGGAGGGCAAGGACTGGTGGATGGGGCATAACAACAGCAACGGCAGATCTGCAGCTTCCCCTTTAGGTTCATCTCCGTTAGTAGCATCTCCTTTACAAGGATCTCCGCTAGGATCCCCGACTACTGCAGTGCAGGCTGATGTTTCTGCTTCCGATGCTGCGGCTTCTGCTGTGGCTGAGTCACAGAGCCAAGCTGTGAATGACTGTGAGGGCAATGGGAAGCACCATGCTGATTCCCATGCTGCAGACGGGCGTGCTACAAACGGATGTGCTACAAACGGATTTGCGACAAACGGGTGTACCCATACAGGCAACAGCAAAGGGCAGCAGCAGAGGGTGGACTCACTAGACTCAGCAGAAGTGAAGCACATTTACGGAGCCATCACCCCTCTCTTTCAGGGAAACACCGCCGCCCCATACAGTCACCCGAATGCCCTCTCGCGCGGCCTTTCTCTCTGCGATAAGCAGTCGGCGTCAGCTGTTCACCACGCCCTGCTGGACCTCTTTGATCTGAACAACGACTTATCGAGGCGAGACCATGGCTTATCACGGCCCGAGCACCAATTATCGCAGCCGCAGCAGGAGCTAGCAAGGGCAGGGAAGAACCTTTCACAGCCAGAGGAGGGTGCCAGTGGTATCATGGAGAATTGTCAACAAACCGCTCCTCCCCATTCTCCCCCTCTCATTCCTCCCTTCCCTCCTACTTCTCCATCATCGCGACTTGAGCGATCCAGTACAGTGAGCCTGGAGCTGCTGCTGCAGGAGAAGGTGTGAGGGCTTGTGCTGCTGCAATGAGGAAACATATATAAGCCTTGGCTGCTGCTGCTGCTGCTGCTGCTGCTTCATCTGAAGGGCTGGAAGGCAATGAAAGGGTATGATCTTGAGTGTTGCAGGCTTGCAGCGCAATGGAAGGGTGTTGTGTCATCTCTCTGCTGCGCACTGTCATGCATTGCATTGCAGCCTTACATTAGCCTGCGTGCACTACTAGCCTGGTGTCAGGGAGGGATACATGACGATGCTGCCCTTTTTTGGGCCATTCTTTGTGTGCTTCTTTGATTATTGTAGATGTGTGAGTTATTGTGTTGACTTCCTTTTTTTTTTTGTCGTGTGCTTAGTTTGTGTAATGTACCGTCATCGCCCGGATATAAGACAGTGTTGAATAGTAGACAGGGGTTGTCTACTATACGGGTGTCTCTTATAAACAAGCTAGCCTTTTTATACGACACCTATTTGTGTGTACGAGTTAAGACATATGTCTTATAATCAGAACCAGGGTTTAGGGGTTTTCTTATAAACAGGGGGTGTCTTCTTAGCTAGCTTTCCTACTTTAAGGGGGTACATGCATACAGTATGAATCTCTACTTCTACCTAACCCCCCTCAGTCACCGCCTCCTCACCTGCACTAACATCAGGCTCTACACCCAGGTCTGGCACTCGCTAGGCATGCCTAGCCGTCTCCCTAGGCTCGACCATGCGGTCAGCCTTGGCCGCCGCTCCGCGGTAGTTGGGGGTCTCCTGGTACAGCACCTCCAGGCCGGTTGCCACGCCACCTCCCGCACGCCCTCCGCCTGCATCGCCTCCTCCTCCTCCTCCTCTGGAGCCCGACCGAGCAGGCGCGTGTTGTCGCCTGTGGTCCCCCCGAGAGACATGTCCGCGGAGACATCGGTGGTGCTCCTGGCGCGCAGGTGAGACATCACCAGGTGGTTCTCTGTTCCGTCTAGCTTGCTCGAGATCCCACAGTGGCGGAACGCGTCGATGATGATCTGCTTGGGGACTTGATCCCAAGCCTCCGCGATCCACTGCAGCACCACGGGGTGCGGAGGCCTCCGCAGGTTCCCTGCGGGTGGGATAGAGGACGGGGCAGCGAGATGTAAGAGACACGGATATGAAGGAGCATGTTTAAGACAAGGACACGAAACAGAACATGAATAAAACCGTAAATGAAGGACCAACTCACCCTTCTTCGTCTTCGGATATGGCGTAGCGCGCTCGCACAGCAGCCTTGAAGCACCGGTTGATGGAGACGTCCAGGGGTTGAATCTGGCTCGTACAACCCGCTGGGATGACTGCAGGGGTGATGCTGTGCGTGCGGTACGACTGAAGCATGGTCTGGGTGATGTGACCGCGGTAGGAGTCCAACACCAGCATCGCCTGCCTTGCGTTCTGGCCGCGCTGGGGGTTCAGATGGGGCAGCACCTCCTTGGACAGCCAGGTCTGCACAGCGGTCTCGTCCATCCACCCGTTGTCCTGTGCTTGGACCACGATTCCTGCCAGGCACACAAGGGACAGACGGGCATCAGCACAGTGGGGCACGCTCATCAGGCAGTCGCACGGTTGAATTCACGCTCGCTTACCTTCCGGAATCTCACAGTTGGGGACGTTCTTCATCTTGAACCACACCCACGGTCGCAGCTTCTCCCCGGATGCAGTGCACGCGAGCATCACCGTCAAGCGCGTCTTCTGGTAGCCTGCAGTGCGGATTGGGACCGAGCGCGCGCCACGGTGCTCGATCGTCCGTTCGGCTGGCATCTCCACGAATAGTGGAGTCTGGTCCGCGTTGATGATGCGGGCCAGGTCGATTTTGTGCCGCGCCCTGTTGATGCGCACAAACTTCCAGAAGGACTCGCAGTCCTTCGCGCACTCTGCAGACGGGACAAGCGCAACGAAAGCACGGGATGGTTAGACACTGGGTGAGGTACATGCATTCAATAGAGCGCCAGACGAAATCCTTCAACACGCACCTGCCGACAGACGTTGGCCGACCTTGGTCTTCACCCGCATCACCAGGTTCCAGCGGTCACGGAAACGGTGGCTCCAGTGAGAGCTCGCGTTCCAGTTCTTGCCGGGGTAATGCTTCTTCATCCACTCGCGGCTCCACTTCTGGGTGACCTTCACCGAGATGGCCACCCCGTTAGCGCGCTGAAGGCAGATGTAGCGGTACAACGCTGCCTCCATGTCGGGGTAGTGTGAGTGGCGCCCCCCCCCGTGCATCCGCTTGCGGCAGTTGGCCGCGCCCTTGTAGACGCCCGCTTCCAGCCTCCGCACACCAGCGTCTGATGCAGGCGATGGACGCGGTTGACTCCACGCTCGTCTTCTTCAAGGAGCCGAGCTCCTGATAGCGGCGCGCCCACTTAAGCTTCTCACGCACGGTCCAACTGCGGCGCTTCTTCGTAGTGTCTTTGCTGCGAGGGGAAGGTGGGCGGGTGTTGGGATTATGGAGGGTGGGGTCCCTCGGCGTTACCTTCTCAGGGAATGTGGGAATCGGGCCTGCCGCCGCCGCGTACTCATCGTCGCTGCCCAGCGGCTCGTTCACGACGATGTCGTCAGGATTCGGCGCCTTCTTCGCCTTCTTCTTAGCCGCACCCTTGCTGGATCCCGGGTCTCCGTCGGATGTCAGCTTCTTGTTGCTTGTGCGGCGACGAGCAGGGGCTTTAGCAGGGGCCTTAGCAGGGGCTTCCGCGACCTTGGCTTTCCCCTTCTCCGCAGCGGTGAGTATCGGGCGACGCTCCTCCCCCGGACCGTCGTCGTCAGAGAGCACCACGCGGGCCCGCTTTGACTTGGACTATAGGCGATGGCGCAGCCTCCGCTTCAGTAGCGGGACGTCGTCGTCGGTCCCAAAGCTCCATGGGTTGTCGTCGCCGCCTTCCTCGCCTTCCGCATCCGCAACTGCGGTCGCATCCGCAGGCGCAAATGTCTCAAGTTCCGCCCCCGCCTCGTCGTCAGCCTCCTCATTCGCATCCACCGTCGCTTCCTGTGCATCCGCCGCTGCCTCCGCGTTGTTACCATGCGCATCTTTACCTCCGTCGTTGTCGGAATCACCAACATGCCACTCTTCCACCTCGTCGTCGCTCCCGACCGGCCGATTCCACCAGTCGTCCTCCTCGATGTCAGCAGGACCTACATCGTCGCCTGAAGCGCTGTCGTCGTGGCCGTTCTCCGGCCAATCCTCCTCGGCGTCGTCGCCGTTCGCTTCGTCCCCGTCACAGCTCGCACCGGAGGCGGCGGTAGGACTTGCCGCCTTGCTCGCGTTCTTCGCCATGGCTACACGGATGTCATCGCCGGGCGAGTTAATTCGCCCGTAGTTATTAACCTGCACGTGAGGACGAGGTGAGGACTTGCCTACTGGTACTTTGCTGCGCATGGTTAGAGAGCCTGCCGAGAGCAAGGTTGAGACGAGTATTCAACCTCCTTGAGCACGAAATGAAGTGAGAGCCCGACTACCCCCCCCAGCCAGAGTGCCCCATCCACAGGTGCCGAGCCGCTCCTCTACGAGGCATCTCCTCGTAGAGGACAGCCCTCACGCTGCCAACGTGCTGCCAGCAGCGTTCTGGAAGCATCCATGCGCTCCTGGCAGCAAAACGACGCTGGCATCATGATGCTGCCAGCACAGAGGAATGTTGCCAGCGGTGGCAGCTCCCTCACGTGGAAAGTGTGGGCGCTGCATGCATCACCACCGAGGTCGGCCTGTTTAAATGAAATTGGTCTTTGGGTTGTTTCTACACACTTTGCAAGTGTTACAGTCAACTTATTTTTTTTTCCATTTATAAGACTTATAAGACACCCTAAACCATCCCGTTTACAAGATAACTCAAGCATTTTTGCCCGTGTACGAGATAAGACATATATGTCTTATATCCGGGCGATGACGGTAGATGTGTGTGTGTGCTTGTGTGTGGAATAAATATATTCTCTTCCGCTCTGCACTGCACTCAGCTCAACATGTACAAGAAATAAACAAAAACTTCCACACGGCCGTTGCCATGCTACAATATCACCTTGCATCATGTGCCTCCTCCACCCATCACAACAGCTGCGTAAATTAATGCATTATTGCTCACTTGCCGTAGTATCTACAAGCTTGTTCTATGCTTTGTCCCTGGGATCCTAGAAGCATGAACAACAGCAGCACGCAAAACACGAGCACTATTCAACACAGTCCGTCCCTTGCTACTGGCTAAGAGTTGGTTTCCTAATCGTCTATCATAATCATTTCCAGCCTGTTGTGACCCATGTCCCTCCTGGGATATTGCCTTCCCTCCCATGCCTGCCTCTGCCCCCTTTCTCGCCTCCGCCTTTGCCGCTTTCCTCAGCCTCTTCTTTGCGGCTTGCTCCTCCTGCCATCTGAGGGCCAACAGAGCCAGGAAGTGTGGAAAGGAGGAACAGAGGAATGGAGAAATTTTGAGCGTTAGAAATGGCAGCAGCAGCGGCCGGTGGCTCCTGGCTGGAAGTATCTTCTTTGCTGCTTGCTCCTCCTGCCATCTGAGGGTCGACAGAGCAAGGGAGGGAGATGAACGGAGGGCGGGAGGAAAAGAGGAATAGAAAAGGAGAAAGGGAGGGACGAGCGTTGGGGATGGCATGGCAGCAGCATGGGAAAACAACAGAGCAAGGTAAGGAGGAATAGGGGAACGGAGGGACAGAGTGAAGTTGTGTTCCTTGCAGCACAGCCCAGTGCACCCTGGCGGGGACTGGCAAGGCGATTTTCCAGTCAACTAAAAAGTCACCTCGGAGAAATGGTGAGACGTTTTCGTCTTTACATCACAGTTCCGTGGGCTCTGGCAGGGACTGGCAAGGCGCATGCAGGGACTGGCAAGGCGCATGCGGGGACTGGCAAGGCGTATGCATGGAGTGGCAAGGCGCATGCATGGAGTGGCAAGGCGCATGCACTGGCTATGCACATAGCCATCCCAGTGGGCTCTGGCAGGGACTGGCAAGGCGCATGCACTGGCAAACCGCATGCATGGACTGGCTATGTGCATAAAAGAAGAAAAGAAGTTGGAACCGCAAAAGATTCACTGACATTTGGCGAATGGCCTTGAAGGCCTTAATAGTGGCGTACGGCTGGCCTGTGAGTGGGTCTCGGTACCTGCATAGTGGGAAGAGAAGAGGAAATTCCACGCAAGTTACTGACATTTGACAATTCTATAACAAAACGTCCATAGTGTTCGGTACCTGGAAATTCAAGTCAGAACATTTGGCTAACCGGTTTGCTGGTAGCTGAATTGATTGTGGAAATAATCGCTATTGGAGAAAAATGCTGTTCAAGTGATGTTGAAACACCCACACACGCACACACACACACACACACACACACACACACACACACACACACACACACACACAGCAGCAGCAGCAGTAGGAGGTGGTGTAGAGAAGAGTAGTGGAAACGTACTTTGCTGGTAGACCTGTGATCACACAAGTGGGCTTGGCAGGGTCTGCAGGAAGAGGAAGGAGGGAACAGAAATGAAGGCCAAAAGATTGCGGAGGGTTCGCAAAAGAACAGTGGGAGGGTAGTGGGATGGGAACGAAGCTCATTGGTGTGAGGGAACGCTCAAAGGCAACATAAACATGGTGGATAAAGAGACCATTTCAACTTCAAAGAAACAATTGATTGCGACTAAAAGCCATTATATGGCTGATTTTGGAGAGGTGTAAGAGTGAGCATATGTGAATGTGCCTTTAGGGCCAAAAAAATTGCTCATAAGGTAAAGGCACAGAAGGAACAGGAGCCGCTGAGAAAGAGTTGCTAGTGGGGACGTACAGAAAGGCGCTCTTGCGTTTTATCTCTGGAGGGGACTTTTGATTCGACTCAAAAGGTGACTTCTGAGGTGACTCAAAAAAGTCACTCCAAAAGCCGTTGGGGGGGGGGGTTGCTAGTGGGGACGTACAGGAAGGCGCCTTTGCGTTGATCTCTGGAGGAACAGCCGCCACTTTGGTGAACTCCAGGGTGTTCTTCCCTGTGAAGTTGAATTAATAAGGTCCGGTAGAAGAGGAAAGGGTGGGAGGGAGGGAGAAGGAGGGGGAGTTTTGAGGCACCTCAAGAACAGCCGCCACTTTGGTAAACTCAAGGGTGTTCTTCCCTGTCAAGGGAATTCGGTTGGGTCCAGGGGGGGCGGAAGAAGGGGGGGGAAGAGGAGGGTGTGTGGGGAAGGGAAAGCGGGAGGTGGGTGGGGAAGGGGGAGGGGGGGGGGGGAGAGTGGTTGCTTGCACTGCCCTTCGGGTGGAATCAATCTGCTATTCAACAACAGAATGCCTTTCTGGAATAAGATTTGATTTGATCTCACCGTCCTTGGAGTGGAATCGGATCTGCGGCCCACCAAAGATTGCCTTTTCCACAACGGCCTTCCGCTTCACCTCCTCCTCCCTCGCCAGCATCACTGCCAGGGCCTCTCGGTTTAGAATCTCTGTGATGGGTTGTCAGTGGAACAATGATGCGGGAGAAGGTGTGTTTTGAGTCGACTCAAAACACACCAGAATCTCTGTGATGGGTTGTCAGTGGAACAATGATGCGGGAGAAGGGAATGGGACGACTTTTGAGGCGCCTCAAAATACGGGTTGTCAGTGGAACAATGATGCGGGAGAAGGGGAATGGGACGAATCTGGATAAGAGGAGGCCCCATGCATCCCCCCTTCTCCACCACAGCCTTCCTCTTCACCTCCTCCTCCCTCCCCCAGCATCACTCCCAACGCTTCCCGGTTCAGAACCTCTGCAATGGGCGTGATAGGGCACAAGGAGAGTGAGCAAGCACGGACAGCCATGCATGCAATTAGCCTCACCGACTTAACTGCACCTTCCTTTGCTAGTACCTCTGTGGCCCATCTCAAGCTCATATCAAAAGCCCTGAACCCCGAATCCACCTGCACCCACCCCCTGAACCGCACCCCACCCCACCCCACCTTCCTGTCTGTGCAGCCTCGAGAAGCATCTCCTCCTGTGTCCACCGCCGCAGGCCTTCCTTAACCTTCCTCACCGCCTCGCACGCGCACCTCTCAGCCATGGAAAAAGCTCTCAACTGCAACCCACCTGCCTGTGCCGCCTCCAGAAGCATTTCCTCCTGCGTCCACCACCGCTCGCCCCCTCCCTCGCAGCCCTCAGAGCCCCTACAGCCTTACCTGCGCTCAAGTAATATGCCCAAGGCTGTAACCACTGCCCACCCCCCTGAACCGCACCGCACCGCCCCTGAACCGCACCGTACCTGTCTGTGCAGCCTCTAGAAGCATCTCTTCTTGTGTCCACCGCCGCTCGCCCTCCTTCCTCTTTCTCACCGCCTTGGGTACCCCCTCCCTCGCTGCCCTCAAAGCCTGCCTCTCCATGTCCCTCACCACCACCGCTGTCCTCCTTGACTTCCTCCTCTCCATCCCTCCTCCCTCCCTCCCGCCCTCCCTCTCTCCCTCCTCCCCCTCCCCCGCAATTTTCGTCTGTCAGATCTACTGTCGCATCACCAATAAGCTCCTCTCCCTCCTCTCCCTCCTCTCCTTCCTCTCGCTCCTCTCTCTCCTCTCCCTCACCTCCCTCCGCCCCTTCCCATTTCACTCGCCCCACTCCCAGAAGAGCCAACTCACGTCTCTGCCTACTCTTTCCCACGCCACTCCTCCTCCCAGCTTTACTCTTCCCCTTCTCCGCCTCCGCCCCATCACCTGTCGCCTCCCCGTCAACCCTTCCGCTCGCTTTCCCCTTCTCTGCAACAAGCGTCCTTCCACCAACGCCCTTCTTTGCTGCCTTAGCAGGTTTCTTAGGCTTTTTGGAAAGTTTCTTGGTGCCGGGAGGCAGGAGACGGCGCTTGGTAGGCCTGGTGGGGCAGGTGAGTGGGGCAGGTGGGGCAGGTGAGTGGGGCAGGTGGGGCAGGTGAGTGGGGAAGGTGGGGCAGGTGGGGCAGGCGGGGCAGGTGAGTGGGGCAGGTGGGGCAGGTGGGGCAGGCAAGGAGAGGATGAGGGGAAATGAAGGAGGCCCTTCTTCGCCCTCTTTGCAGACTCCTTCCTTGGTTTCTTTCTTGGTGCCAGGAGGCAGGAGACGGCGCTTGGTAGACCTGGTGGGGCAGACGACGAGAGACAGGTTAGGAGAGAAGGGAGAGGTGAGAGTTGCTATTGACCATGGAGTTTGATTTTTTTGGCTTCTTGAGCTTTTTCTTTGTGCCAGGAGGCAGGAGACGGCGCCTGGTAGGCCTGGTGGGGCAGGTGGGGCAGGTGGGGCAGGTGGGGCTGGTGGGGCAGGTGAAGAGAGAACAACTGATGAAGAAACATGATGAACGAGAGTGAAAGAAATCAAGGTTTGAGGTAAGGGCTTGGGTACTGGTGTCTCGGAGATGGATGATATGGGGGAAAATGTGCGGAAAGGGAAAGGGAAAGAGGCATGGAAAGGAAGGAACATGGGAAGAGAGACGAGGGAGGGGATGCGGCAGGAGAGAGGATAACGGGAGAGGCAGACCTTTCTTTCACCTCTGCTCCAGGCTCCTCCTCCTCGTTTTCTGGCTCCTGTCACGCGCATACACATATGCAAGATCAGAGAGAAAGAAAAAAACAGAGGAGTGCGAAACATGGTGTGATTATCAAGGTGGTGAGAAACCATGTAAATTGTGCGACAAAGAGGCATGTGTGAGAAGGAGGTTTTCCTATAACAAGTCGCTCACGTCACATCACACCCATCATGCTCACGTCATCACACCCATCATGCTCACGTCGTCATCAAAGTCGCTGTCGAAAACGTCCTCATCCACCTCGCCCTCCGTTGCATACTCCACATCCTCTGCTTCCTGTGGTATGTCAACATCACATATACACATGCACATGTACACATATACACATGTAAAACAAGTACATGTATTTCACACATTCGAAAAACGTCCTCCTCCACCTCGCCCTCCATCGCATACTCTGCATCCTCTGCCTCCTGTGTTATCATTATCACAATCAAATCATATATGTACGGTAAAACAGATAAGTGGTTTTCCACACATTTAACCGTCCTCCTCCTCGCTCTCCATTTCATACTCTGCATCCTCTGCTTCCTGTGGTATGTCAACATCACATACACTCATGTAAAACGAGTACATGTACTTCACACATTCGAAAAACGTCATCCTCCACCTCACTCTCCATCGCATTCTCTGCATCCTCTGCTTCCTGTGGATACATACATGTAAAACAGGATTGTCATGTAGATTTACAGACCACGTCAGAGAGCACGTCCATGTACCCATCCACCGTACCTACCGAACTCATAACAAGTGGTTAAAATCCAGGTCAGCAGACTCACTCACAAATCTCATCATTGGTAGCTGAAATCCACGTCAGCAGGCCATTTACCCAACTAATGACTGAAACTTCAAAATCGACGTGAGCAGTCCCACTTACCTCTTGAAAGGCCTTTTGATTCAAAAACTCCTCACCCGCGTCTAGATCCTTCAACCCCCCTCCCCCCCCCTCCCTCCTCCCACCACCAGCGGTCTTTTGAGTCAACAGATCCACGTCAGCATGCCAGCTCACCTCCTGGAAAGCCTTCTGATTCCAAAACTCCTCATCCGCGTCTAGATCCTCCCCCACCAGCTCCGACACTCTGATTGGCGCAAGCAGTTGGGGGATAGGGGAAACCGCAAATATGATTGTGAGGAAAGGGGACAGGAGTGGAGGAATGAAGGAAAGGGGGAAGAGGGAAGGGAAAGGAAAAGGAAAAGGCGCCACTTGAGAGAGGGATGACGGAGTCAGGACAAGGATTTCTCATCTGCGCCTCGTAGTTCTCTTAGCCCAACAACGAGCTGGCTGCTACCTAGTTACAGCAGTAAGCAACTCACGTTGCAGGGAGTTTTTGAGAATTCTCAAAAACTCCCTGCGACCCAACAACGAGCTGGGTGCTCCCTCGTTACAGCAGTAAGCAACCCACGTTCCTACCTCTTCCCCATGACGGCTCACCGTTTTCCGCGGGTGGACCGCGCGGGAAGGCGGACCCGTTCCGGCTCAGCCATGACGCCACCCGCGCAGAGAAGTCACGTTCGCAAACCTATTACGCGCAGAGGTCACGCGGGAAACCAAGCCGTCCGCAAAAGCGCGCGAGTTTTCTCAGCCAACGGCAAGAAAAAATCACCTCAATTGTAGCACTAGTTCGTGCAAGCAGGAATCCTGTGTGCCATGTGAAAGTCGTGCTGTTGTTGGATGGTGAAATTTGATTTTCGAAGCGATGTTGAAATGTTAGGGCGTACCCGCAGGCCACAATTTTCAAGGTTAGGAAGGTTGATTGGGGTTAGTGCCTGGATTGGCCCGCGAACCGAGAGGTTGCCGATATTGAATGCGAGAGTCAGCGAGAGGAGTCGAGTTCGTGGGTGTTACCTGAGCCTATCTGAGTATCGCACAAACCCAGAGTTGCGACAGAGTATCGCACATCGGACGGTACCCCAAGCCAAGAGCGGAAATGTTGCAGTAGTGTAATGATGGTAGTTGGGCTTAGGAAACTATATTTATTACAAACTTCTGTAAGTATTGCTGACATTGTTAATTACTTTCATAGCAATGCTTAATCTCAACTCAACACATGGTGACGGCGCCCCAATTTGTCTTTGGTTGATAAAAACTGTTATATCAATTAAAAACAAATCACAAATTAATGCGGGCAGAATTATCTCACACTTGACCCTTAACTAGAATATCACATTAGGTGATATTCATGCAATACAATCACCAACTTACCAATTTGAAATGCTGCACACACAAGCTGCCATAGGGGGGAGAAGAAGAGGTGGGTGAGTAATGTCAAGTCAAAGAAGAGGCGGATAGTGAGTGAGTGGCGGAAGGATGTGGGCGGGGTAGGGCAGTGGTTGGCGTGGGGGAGTGAGAGGCAGATGTGAGTGGGTGGCAGTAATGAGTGTATCTCCCCAAGCCCCCGCTACCCCCCCTGCCGATGCATCTCCCCATGCCCAAGCTACGCCCCCTGCCAATGCATCTCCCCATGATTGTACTTTTGCCAATGCTGCAACCACAAACTGCCATGTGGGGAGAGATGAAGGGTACACAGGGGAGGAGTGATAAAGTACGAGCAGAAGGAGTGAGAACAAGTTGCTGAGTAGGATGGGGGGGGTTATGAGGGGACGGAGGGGAGTGTGAGGCAGTGGTAAGTGGGTGGTGGAGGTGTGTGGGAAACAGAGGTGAGTGAGAGGCAGCGGTGAGTGAGTGGCAGAGGTGAATGAGAGGGCACGTGAGTGAGAGGACGCGTGCGGAGGGGGTGAGATGCCGAGGTGGTGAGACGCGGAGGGGGTGAGATGCGCAGGGTGTGAGAGGCGGAGGGTGTGAGAGGCGGAGGGTGTGAGAGGCGGAGGGTGTGAGAGGCTGAGGGTGTGAGAGGCGAAGGGTGTGACAGGCGGAGGGTGAGAGAGGCGGACGTGAGCCAGGTGCTTTTCCCTGCCCACGCGGTCCTCCCTGCCCATGCACCTCCGCCTGCCCGTAGGTCGCGTTGCGAGGCAGGGCAAACTGTGACCTAAGGGCGCCGTCGCGTTGCCCTGCAGGGCAAATCGTGTCCTAAGGGCGCCGTCGCGTTGCCCTGCAAGTCTGATCGTACCCTAAATGCGACGCGGATTGCTTTGCAGGGCACATCGTGACCAAAATGGGGCCGCCGCATTGTCCTGCTATGCAAATCGTAACCGAAATGCGACGTCGCATTGCTCTGCAGGTCAAATCGTGGCCATCGGTATGCTAATGTCACCACGCAAGCCTATATTTCCGGCAATGTTGGTTTCCGCGACTTTCGCATATCCCTACCTTTTGTATTTCGAGATTTGTGAGCGCCCGAAAGTAGGTAAGTTGGCTAGTAGGCGGGTTGCGCGCGTCTAATAGTGGGTCCTAATCTCGAGACTAATCACTGGCGTTTTTGGGACAAGTTTCTCTTGCCTGTGTGCCTCATGTATACGGAGGTTGGTGTTGGGCGATAGTACCGTGCGATGAGATTGAACTGGACTCTTGTCGCTGCTACAGTGTTCTCATTTGTTGAATGTTCGCGACCAGGTTTGGTGTTTGAAAAGTTGCCTCCGCTGGAAACCGGGTAACACCCAACCAGCCTTAGGAAGGATGAACCACTTTTGGCTTTCTTGACACGCGGGTTTTAAATCGCCACACAATTCCGAAAATAGGGTGTGGCCGAATTTTAGACGACTTAATGGTCATCATATTTTTCGCGAACAGCGACGAGGTGGCCGAATCATAGTCGACTCTTTAACAGTGTTACGGGTGCAATGAATCGAAGTAGCGAGAATTGCACAAGGTGTCAAACGAGTACAAAGATGTGAGCGAAGGCATGAGCGAACATTTATACGCGAAACATGCAAACTGTAACGCGGTGCGTGCGAGCTAGCTAGTGCTATGCTGGCAGCGAGGCTCGGGCTAGTCCCGAAGCGTAGGCCGACACGGCCGGGCCAGCAGTGCGAGGTTTGGCAAAACAGTGCGCGCGAAGTTGGCGAAGTTCCGTTAGCAGTAACGGGCGAACAACGGTTGTTGCTGTACGCGATGTAGTCGGGCTCTGTAAGGAATGCCGAGAAAATTCCTTACACTACCCCCCCCCCCCCCCCCCCCCCCCCCCTCAAAAAGCCCCCTCCGCTACGCGAGTGCTGTCAGAATATTATCTCATTGTTCTAGCCTGTAGTGGGGTGCTCTACAGCGAGTACAACCCTTCTAGGGTTTGCTATTTGTATCCTCATTCTTGCTAGTTCAATCCTCTTTCTTACTTCTAATTTTGACATGCTATCAGAGCAGGTCGATCCCTTTGGATCGATCCTGTGGGTGGGTTTCCACCTCGCTTCCGCTGCTACCTTTCCTTCCCGCCGTGCGCCCCTAGGCGCGCTGCGGTTTTTCCTTCCCGCCGTGCGCCCCGAGGCGCGCGGCGGTTTTCTGCCCGCCGTGCGCCCCGGGGCGCGCGGCGGTTCTTTGCCCGCTGTGCGCCCCGGGGCGCGCGGCGGGCGTCTGCTCTACGTCACGGCCCCGCCCTACGTCGCGGCCCTGCCCGACCGTCGCGGCCCCGCCCTACGTCGCGGCCCCGCCCTGTGTCGCGGCCCCGCCCCTCGAAGCGGCCCTGCCCGACCGTCGCGGCCCCGCCCCTCGTCGCGGCCCCGCCCCTCGTCGCGGCCCCGCCCTACGTCGCGGCCCCGCCCTGTGTCGCGGCCCCGCCCCTCGAAGCGGCCCCGCCCTACGTCGCGGCCCCGCCCCGACCGTTGCGGCCCCGCCCTACCTTCGCGGCCCCGCCCTACCTGTCGCGGTCCCGCCCTACGTCGCGGCCCCGCCCTGACCGTCGCGGCCCCGCCACTCGTTGCGGCCCCGCCCCTTGTCGCGGCTCCGCCCTCCAATCAGGTCCGTGGTGGGCCCTTTCCTCCACACCCCCCCCCCCCCCCCCCTCCCTCCCATTTCTGAGGGGCGAGCTGTGGGGTGGCGGGTATGGGGGTGGTCGGTGTGCCTTCCTCCCTTTCTCCTCCTCCTTCGTCTCCCACTGCTGCAGCTGTCGCTGAGGGGGGTGGTTGTGTGGGAGACTGGGTTTAGGGTTTAAGGGGGGTGTGTGGGAGTAGAGCTAGTGGTGTAGCAGTGGGTGTGTATCAGGGGGGTGGGACTGTGTGCGGGAGGATGAGCGGAGGTTGCCAGTTTGTCGTCAGCAGCACCTGTAGTCCGGGGCGCTGTCCCGGTAGCCCAGTCGTAGCCAGCTGTGCCAGCCGCCCGTGGGTCCGTTGCCCGTCCGCCGCTATTTGAGCCGCGGGGCCTGTTACTCCTGTAGTCCAGGCGCTGTCCGGTAGCCGCTGTGCCAGTCTGCCTCCTGTTGCCCGTGTGTCTGCAGCTTCAGCCGTCGCCTCCTGTCTCCTCTCCCCTCACTCTCCCTCCTCCTCCTCACTTGCCCGTTGTGACTACCACTAGCTTTGCTTATAATTGTAAACTCTAAACTATTTCTTCTTGAACTTGTGCTCAGAATGTGTGGTGACATTGTGATCCACCCTGAGCTTGTTTTGCTTTGCCTGCTCTGCTGATTACACCCCACTTTGGCTATGGGGGTGTGTCAGAATATTATCTCATTGTTCTAGCCTGTAGTGGGGTGCTCTACAGCGAGTACAACCCTTCTAGGGTTTGCTATTTGTATCCTCATTCTTGCTAGTTCAATCCTCTTTCTTCCTTCTAATTTTGACAAGTGCGTGTATATCGCGGAATCCCCGGCTCCTCAGGTACACTTGCAGGGCAGGGTGGTTTTCAATGTTGGCCAGGGGCACCCAGCTATCTTCAGTTGGCGTGCGGTCCTTCCAGCGAACGAGGAATTCAATCCTCCTGATTCCCGTGGGGTGGCGAATCCGATGACTCAGGATTTTTTCAGGTTCAATGATCGGCTCTGATGCAGGGCGAGTCATGGATGGCGGGCGGTGGCGAGGCAGTTGGCTTGTGGTTGGGATGAATGGGCGAAGCAAGCTGACGTGGAACGAAGGGCTGATGTACCAGTCGGTTGGTAACAGTAGGTGCGCGATTATTGGCGTAATCATGTGGCTGATTTGGAATGGGCCATAGTAGTGCGGTCGAAGTTTTGGCACGTCGGGCAGTCGCAGATTTTGCGTGTCGAGCAATACGTAATCCCCTGACTGGTATGTGACTGGGCGGCGGTGGCGGTCAGCTTTGCGCTTAGCGATGACGTCTGCTTTTTTAATTGCTTCTGCGGCTCTGGTGCGGGCAGCTTGCAGAATTTCGGCGAATTGTTGTGCGCGTGGTGTTGGGTTGTCCGGACTCGGCGTCATGGGCACTGTAGGATTTTGCCCGTAGTTCAGGTAGAAGGGGGACTGCTGCGTCGTCGCTGACGTGGCATTGTTGTACGCGAACTCGATCAGCGGCAGCTGCTGCTCCCAAGTCGTGGGGTCGTCGCACGTGGCACGAATCAACTGCTCCATCGTCTGATTCGTCCGCTCCATTCGACCGTCGGTCTCGGGGTGGTACGACGAACTGAACCGTAGCCTGGTTCCGAACT